CTAATTATTAAATTGTTTTTTATGAAAATACTTCATGCTAAAATGTATTCCAATAATATTTTATTGACTATATTTATGTTGATTACAAATATTAGGTTTGAGAGATCGAGATAAATACAATATAAAGGCTTATTTGTTGAAATTCGCAGAATTTACAAAAATGGCGGATGCGCCGCACATTGGGAAGGTAAAAGGGGCCGTCCATAAATCTGCTGACGCTGGTGCCAGCGAGTCGAATAAAATCTATTTCTTCCATTTTTATAATAATTACAAAAAAGAAAATAGTATATTATGTATCAAGTTTGATAAACGCCATTTTATACACGAATGTAATTTAGGCGAGCTTGCGAGCGAGTGCTTAAGTTAATGAGTGTATAGAAAAGTTTATAAACGAGGTGCATACTATAGTTTTTCTACGACAAATACTTATTATTAACTTAAAATGATTTAAATCAAAAATTTGTATAGAGCGCCATCTATGAAACAATAGGGGAATCTGTGTGTCACCGTCAAATGTCAAATTTTTATATTTTATAAACACAGATTATAAAGGTTATAAATCGAAATGTATTTCTTAAAAATTGACAGTTTTCACTGTGAAAGTAAAGAAAATGTTTTATGATCACTTTACAGTGGAGTCCGTGTCCGAATTAAAGTTATAGTTTACTGCCGGCGAAATTAAAAGGTCAGTACAATCTTCATATAAACTTTTCAAATATTGGCGTTGATAAACTATTTAATACTTTTGTATTTTTGTATTGAGATAATAAAATAATTTTCACATTAAGTATTATTTTACAAGAAAGGCACTTTATTTTAACGATTGCATGACATTTGACAACTGTCAACTAACTTAAAACTAACTTCAGCCCGTGACTAAAAACCTGTTGCTATCTTAAGCCCGTGACTAAAGCGCCATAAAGCCACAACTTGTCAATGTGTATTTAAAAGGTCACTTAGTGTCATGGAAATATGTACGATAAAGGGCGATTTAAAGGTGGTTTTTACATCGTCACATTCTGTCAGGAGGTAGAGGTTTTAGCGTCACGAGATTTATGGACGGCCCCAAAAGTCCAAATCTCAACATGGTTGGGAGAACTTTAAATTATAGATCCATATTTAAAAAAATGCATTTTTTATTAAGATTTGAAAACATTTTTAATAAACTTTACAATGTAACTTCTTAATGTTTATGTTACAATACGTGCAATGTGCGCCGAAATTATGTTTGCCAGTTATCACATTTATTATCAAAAGTAAATTCTATGTATGAAGGTTTTTTTAATGCAACAAAAACCTTTATATGCGCTCTATAAAGTTGTCGCACTTACAGTAAAGTATAGTATATTTTAAATTTATATTTGACTATATAAAATTCCGTAACATTCGCTATTTTATTATGATGTAAAATATTTGAGATCGATTTAAATCCAAAATGGTTACAATTGTTTTTTTTTATTTAATTATTGCTTTAAAAAATGTTTCTTTTTTTCTTACTTGAGAGAGTTAAAAGGTATTGGACATTATCCAAATGTTTTTTATTCCTTGCTAGCGAAAAAATTGGATTATTTCGATGTTGAATTATAATTTGTCAGCTTTTATATATTAATGCATTTTTAATATTTCCCTTGTACCCAAAAGTGTTTCTTCTTTTTAATAACTTTGTAATTCATTTTAAATTCGTTTAATGGCGAATTTCCTGTCTAAAGCCATTTGCAGTCGATGAGCCCTCTGTTTAATATCTTTTAAATTTATTGAGGATAATTTTATTAGAGAAAAAAATAAACTGCATCATTACCTCACAAATTGTTGTTTATTGTCAACAGGGTGCCGTTTATGGTAATTATAGGCTGGCAAACGTTTAACAAGATACAAGGGAAGGGCTTTAATCATATAAAATTACTCAAGATGGAACAAAATGGGACACAGGTACACCCACTTCCAAACATGCTTGGAATATTCAACTATCAATAAGACAAAATATTTATGCGACATAAACAAATCATTGTTTATGTTTATTAGGCAACATTAACAAACACAAACCTCATTTATAAACTCTGTAATATGGTTTAGATATGGCACTCATTAATCGTATTAACATTAAATTTGATTGATTTAGTTAATTTTATAAAGCTGGAAATATCGCGTTGCATGCGAAAATCCAATCGCAACGCTAAAATTCAAACAAATTGGTATTAATATTTTGTTGATTGTTTCGACCTTTACTTGATGAAACTCCATATTATTAATATATGAATAAAAACAACACTGTTTTAAAGTTTCACTAATTTATTTATGTTTTTAATAATTAACAATTGTTTCGCTACACTGTAGCTACAGTTACAGTGTAGCGAAACAATTGTTAATTATTAAAAACATAAATAAATTAGTGAAACTTTAAAACAGTGTTGTTTTTATTCATATATTAGTATTAATATTTTGCATATTTATTTGAAAAACAAATTATTTTAATGTAGGTTGAGAAAAAAACATTCTTAATTTTTCTGTCTCTATAGAAAAAAAACAAAAGATTTAATACTTTTATATTTTGGACCACCCTAGTGATACTAAAAATATATCTGTAGTATGAAAGTGTTTTTGAAGCATACCATCCGGTCATATATATATATGTATATATATATACATATATATCTTTCACCGTTCTAACGTATAATATAATTGATAACACAGCCATATTTAAAAAACCGTCTTAAATTTCAAACACAAATTATAACCAGCAATAAAATAGGTACAGAGACTAATAGGTTTTAGCTCCACTCTAAATAATTTGATGTTAAGTATTCATTGTTTGAATAAAAGACACAGTGAAAAATTTGGGTTTTTTATCATTTTTTTAATATGAACAAAGTAATACTTCAACAAAATTAAAATTTACATGCCGTAAAGCTAGAATAAACATAGTGAAAACGGTTTGCGGAAAATAATGAAAAGCTTCCCAACAATGTATTAATTAATTTAATTTGGTAATTAGGTAATTTTACATATTGTCTGTACCTACTTGATTTGCTAAGTAAGACTTGTGAATCTTAACTTTAACTTTAAGTTAAATGCATTACATTTTGCTTCATCCAATTTAAAAACTTTTGTAACTTGAAAACCTATTAACTTAAAAGTTTTAAAATGTGTTGAAATTCCAACTGTATATCTCTTGTAGTTTTTGAGTTTAAATCAATTCAGCTTTTCTATAGCTGGTATATTAATAAACAAATGATCAACACCACAACATGTTAAAATATAGAGCTTAAATTTGTTGTTTTTTTTTGAGTAGGGATTTTAATCCAGATGGATTTTTGCTGGATCAACATCAATCCAGCTGAATACAGCTCAGATCCAGCAATTTATAAATTTTTAAAGAAAATTAAGAAAAAATTAAAATACTTAAAAAACTTTTATTATTATTTTTATTTTCATCAAAAAACCTAAAATAGGTACCAATTTATAAAAAATAAAAATTAAGTGAAATTAAATTTTATTCGAAAGCAATTACCTAAATTAATTTATTGATATAGAAATATTCTTCAACGCCAAAACAAAACACAAAGTGCTTAAAGTACTTTTCGCCAGTGCTTTTCAGAAGCGAAGTGTATATTGATAACTAACATTTTTCATTAATATTTTTTTTAATAAAAAACAAATATTTTACCAATGTTCATGTTTTGTTAATTTTTAAACTCTGTACAATAGTATATTATGTATCAAGTTTGATAAACGCCATTTTATAGACGAAATGAGTGTATAGAAAAGTATATAAACGATGTGCATGCCATACTTTTTCTACGACAAATACTTATTATTATCTTAAAATGATTTAAATCAAAAATTTGTATTGAGCGCCATCTATGAAACAACAGGAGAATCTGTGTGTCACTGTCAAATGTCACATTTTTATATTTTGTAAACACAGATTATAAAGGTTATAAATCGAAATGTATTTCTTTCGGATATTTCAATTTTTAGTTAATATAAATTATATTTACTGGACAATTAAATATTTGTAAAACAATAAACTGATTTCTACTTTAAGGCTTGAACAAAATTAATGTAAAGATTATAAGATTTTATTGTTTTACTATTTTTTATAATAATTATTATCACAAGTTTTATGTTTTTTTTTGTTACCAATGTAACCACTGTAATGTACCGTAAACACGGGTGACTTTAACCCATTTATGAAAAATCTTTTCGCGCTCGATAAAATTAACATTTATAATTTATTGGTCTTAACCTGTCAATTGAGCGATTCCATTGAGTTTATATTACAGGAAAATCAGTGTTTTAAAGAAAGAAATGGGATTTATTACACTTTAAAATTGTATATATCGCATCAGTGCAAAACTCTTAGAAATACACGCGTTACAATTTCTATATTATGCGCAATCCATTGGAATGATGATCCTAGGTCGATTTTTTATTTTTTTTTATCGGTAATCCCTTGCAATAGATATATGTCGCTGCTAACACGTGTCTAATTAAAATAAAATATAATATTGAATTCATTTTATACGGAATATACACTGTGAGACAAAGTAACCCGCAACCAGGGGGTAACTTTGCACACCTAGTTTTTAATTTTTATTTTTCAAAACTATGTAATACTATAACATAGTTATTATGAAAGAGCAACTCAAGACTCAAATTTTGGTATACAAAATTTTAAGCTTAAGTTTGAAAGTGAGCTAAAGCCACCCGTGTTTACGGTAATCTAATGTAATATTTATAAATAAATTTAAATTTAAATTCAGTCAAATTACTAGTTACCATTAAGCGAGAGCGAAAAGTGCAGTGTGGAAAGGGGTGTAGCACGTGCCGCAAGCATGACAAAACGGTAAGGTCGCTATTGTCGAGGATGTTTGGGCGTTAGTTAATAATTGACATTGAAATTGAAATTTTGAGATGTTTTTTTCGTTTGTTTCAGTGATGTGGAGTTGGATTGAGCCCGTGCTTGCTTGGAGCATGCACTGGCCGGCGTCGGCAAATTCATGGTGGTAGATTCACCCAACGATCGGCAGTCGCTCGAGCTGCATTGCCGAGCTGGAACGCGTAGCTGCACCGCTGGCTTCATCAAAGTGGCGGCACAATGGCTGCTGCTTCTGGCGGGGTTGTGGCACGCGGCTTCCGCAGGTAAGTCCAAACCACTACTATTTGCCATATAAAACTTTCGGTCATATTAAGGTGGATTTTGATCTGGCTCTTTATCTTTGTTTTCAGGTGAGCTGCTGGCCCAATACCCAGGCCCCGCCGATCCTCCCATGCACTTCGCTCATCTGCAAGTGGACGCGAAAACTGGAAAACTATACGCCGGAGCTACAAACAACATCGTGCAGCTCGATGCGAACCTACGATTCGAACAAATCGTGCCTACGGGGCCGAAGAACGACAGCCCCCTGTGCCACGCCACCGGGTGCATGAATCCCGACGATATGAATCCAGTTTTGATGGACAACTTCAACAAGATTCTACTGATTGATCCCGAAGCGGACACGCTGATTTTTTGCGGGTCGTTGTCGCAAGGTGCTTGCACTATATATCAGTTGAAGAACATCAGCGGGCCGAACGATTTTATACCCATGAGTATAGCTGCGAACGATCCAAATGCTTCTACGTTCGCCTATATCGGTCCGCAAAATTACAACATCTGGAGCAAATCTAACATTCTTTACGTTGGCACTACGTTCACTAACATCGGTGAATATCGACACGATGTTCCAGCAATAGCAAGTCGAAACTTGAAGAATTTGGGTATCGCCGAGCTTAGCTTCAGCAAACAGTCCACTCTGATGATCGACGTGAAGTATAGAGATCATTTTATAGTGCAGTACATATACGGTTTCAACGCCAGTGATTACGCGTACTTCGTGATCGTGCAAAAACAATCTCACTTGCCCGGGCAGGAAGAACAAGGTTACATCTCTCGTCTATCGCGGACTTGCATCAACGATCCAAATTACGATAGTTACACGGAGGTAACGTTATCATGCATGTACGACGATCAGAAGTACAATTTGGTGCAAGACGCGAAAATTACGTTTGTCGGCGAAGAGCTGGCAGAGGCTTTAGGTATTACAGTTCGAACTCCAGTGCTTGTCGCAGTGTTTAGACCATCTAAAGGTATAACGAACGAGCCTCAGAATCACTCAGCGCTGTGTTTGTATCCACTTAGAGACATTGAGTCGAAATTCATCGAAAACATTCATATGTGCTTCAATGGTAGCGTGAAATACCGTAACATGGGCTACGTTTCCGGGCCGATATTGGACGGTAAATGCCCTACAAGCGGTAGCGCCGGTAACATACCGAATTTCTGCGAAGTTGGACTTAAAATAAGCGGCCTTACCCCCATTTTATCCACTGCTTCGCTAGTATTTTCCAACATTTCCCTCTCTTCAGTATCAACCGCCTCAACCGGTCGACATGTTCTAGCTTTTCTGGGCTCTACTGACGGTCGGCTTAAAAAAGTTCTTCTCTCAGTCCCCGAAGTTACAGTCTATGAAGAAATCGTCGTCGATGATGGAAATGCTATTTTACCCGATACGCAATTGTCACCATCAGGCGATTATCTCTATGTTCTTTCTTCCTCGAAAGTATCGAAAATTAATGTGGAACATTGCAGTAGTTACAACAATTGTTCTGCATGCTTGGAGTCCAAAGATCCCTACTGTGGATGGTGCTCGTTAGAAAAAAGGTAAGACATACAGTGTGTATTAAAACGAATAGATACACTTAAATAAAACAAGTGCCAAACCCCGCCCACTGTGGTAGGGATTGAATTTTAGAATTATTTTTGTTTAAGAATTTATAGGTTTTATTTTTATCGAATTCGTTTGTTTTGTTTTAATGCATTTCTGCAAATATAAACTAAGTATTGTTTAAAATCCATTAAATTCCAGTCAAAGGCGAAAATGTATTTCTTAAAAACCATACACATTTCCCTACGACAGCGTCGGAGCTACTGAACAAAAAGTAGATCAAACTGCATGCCCTTGTATTTGGCTGCATGCCGCGCTTTTGCCATATGCTATTATTGTTTCCTAAAAGGGTTGTTTTTCTTATTTTTTAATATTAAAAGTAAGAAAATTAACTAAATCAAATTATTTTTGACATATTATTAATATTTTTGTTATTTTTAAAGTCTCAAACAAATAAAATTGAACTATTTATTAAATAATTATAATCGTTCTCTTCTGATTTAAAACAACCTGGCAACTATGGTTCGTAATTACGAATGGCGCCCAATTAAAGTTTGTTTCTTTTTCTCTGATCAAAATATAATTTGTCATCCTTGTCTCCAGCCTTACTTAAGTATAGTGCAGTTGCAACGTCGTAATCATTAGTTCTTTGTTCTTTCGGTCTAACAACTAATATATTTTTTAGATGTACTGTTAGAAGTGCATGTCAGAAAGCGTCTCACAGCGCGCCGCGTTGGTTATCTTTGGGTACCGGTCAACAGTGCATCGATTTCGAGCAAGTGTTCCCGGAGAGAATACCGATAAATCAAATGACGACCGTCCGTTTAACTATAAGAACCCTTCCTGAACTCCCGTACGGCGCCAAGTACAAATGTGTATTCGGTTCTGCAGAGCCTATAGACGCCGACGTAACGGACTTTGGACTTTCTTGTCCGACGCCGGACGTGACGCGCCGTCCGGACATACCGCTCAATAAAGATCACGTCTTGGTGCCCTTGAGCGTTCGCTCATCGGAGACCAACAAGGACTTTGTGTCGAGGAACTTCGCCTACTACGATTGCTCGAAGCACTTGACTTGTAGGGACTGCGTCAACTCCAATTGGGCTTGTAATTGGTGCGTTTACGAGAATAAATGTACGCACAACATTACAACTTGCCAACGGACTTCCTTTATAGTTAGCGGAGAGAATGTAAGTATCAAAACCTCGACGCGTGGTCATCGAACTTCAGTATCCTTTATGATGTTGTTTTTTAGAATCCCACCCATTTGCAAAACCACGGTTTTGGATCCTGCCCGCAGTTTAGAAAAAAGAATGTGATTTTGCTACCTAATAATGTTCCTAAAGAAATGGTGTTCGAGGTTAGGAATTTGCCTCATCCTCAGGCCGACCATACCGGCTTTCAATGTATCGTTACTATTGAAGGTGCTAAAATGCGTGTACCTGCTAGAGTTGATTCGAATAAGTTAATTGTGTGTGATAATACAACAGTAAGTTATTTTGTCGATGTCTATTTTATTATTTTACCTTTTATTATTATTTCCAGTATACATATGAAGCTAATGAAGGCGAATATGAGGCGAATGTTAGAGTAGTTTGGAATAGAAATCATCATATAGACTCGATGAATATTATATTGTACAAATGCGACATCCTGGGTTCTCACAGAGAACACGCCGATTGTTCATTGTGCGTTACTAGAAACTCAAAGTATCATTGCACGTGGTGTGGAAATACGTGTACCTATAACGAAGCCTGCCAACAGATACCGCACATTGAATGTCCCAGACCCAGAATAGATATGATAAAACCCTTGAGCGGGCCCATAGAAGGTGGAACGTTGGTAACAATAGAAGGAAGCAACTTGGGTTTAAAGGAGTCGGATGTAAGGGGGAAAATACGTATTGGAGACGTACCGTGCGAGTTAATAAAATATCAGGTGTCTGTGCGAATACAGTGCAGAACTGGGCCGTCAAAATCTGAGAGTACCGCTCCAATAATCGTAGGAAACGAGGCTGGCTTCACTGAATCATCTGTGGCTTTCAGTTATAAGGACATAAGGTTGTCAGGGATTTTTCCAAGTCTTGGACCGCAAGCTGGCGGCACTCAATTGGCAATAACGGGGCAGTATTTGAATATTGGGTCGGAAATAACAGCCTACTTGGATGACTATATATGCCAAGTCAACTTGACTCAAGCTTCCAGTGGTAGATTAACGTGTATAACATCGAGAGCCCGCCGCGCGGTTAACATACGCCGATTAACGCTGAGCATAGATGGCGCCAACCGCACCTTGGACGGGAACCCGTTTAACTACACTCAAGATCCCACAATCATGGAAATAAAACCGCTAAACTCGTTTGTTTCGGGCGGGAAGATGATTTTCGTGCACGGTACGAATTTGGATAGCATACAAAAGCCAGAGATTGAGGTTTACTCGCTTACTGAACCCAACGTTCCCATCAATAAAACTATATGTACTGTGTTGAGTGCCACGCAGATGGAGTGCCCCAGTCCGCCGGTTAACAGACAGTTTATGATACAGTCCAGAAGAAATGTGAGGGTTTCTAGATCGCTGAGAAAACAAAGTGCTACCGTCACTGCCAAAGTGAATGATGTGAGTGTTGACTTGTAGTATTTGGGTGGTATTTTTATATTTATTTTTTAGTTGCCTGATACTCCTCAATTGCTGCTGAAAATCGGGTTTGTTATGGATAACGTTCACACCGTAAGGGATCTGGAGAAGCATTTCCCCAACCTGAGATCTCAGTTGGTTTATGTGGAAGATCCGAAGTTCTTTAAGTTCCCGAATCAAGAAAAACTCTACAAAGGCGACACTTTGGTGATTGAGGGGGAAAATTTAAACATTGCCAGTGATGAAGCGGATGTTGTGGTCACTATAGGCACTAAACATTGCAACGTGACCAGTTTGGCTATGAGTCAACTTGTGTGTTCACCACCGGAAGTGCAGCCTTTGGACACGGACGAAAACGGAATTCCGGTAGCTATTTCATTCGCACTTTTTTTTAATGTTACTGACTATGTTTTATTTAGACCGACACAAATCTACCGTTGGTCGTTGTGAGAGTCGGCCGTAGCTTGAGATTCTCCATAGGATATCTCCGTTACGATATTTTCAAGAGTTTCTCCTTTCCCCCGGAAGCAATCATCATGATAGCGGCCGGCTCGGTTTTATTTATTTTTTTCTTTGTGGCCGTACTCTTCGTTTACCGTAGAAAATCCACGCAAGCCGAGCGAGAATACAAACGTATACAAATTCAAATGGACACGTTGGAGAGCAACGTCAGATCTGAATGCAAACTGGGTATGTCTTTAGGTTATGGTGACAGGACTTACTCTTTCTCTTGTAATGCATCGTAAAACAAACGTTTCCTTATTTTAGCATTTGCTGAGCTACAAACTGATATGACTGATCTTACAGCTGACTTAGAAAATTCAGGTATTCCCACGCTGGATCACACGAGTTATATAATGAAAGTATTTTTTCCCGGAGTCAGCGACCACCCCATCTTAAATGCACCCAAGGTAAACCACCATTCACATTGCAAGTCTCGTTATTATTTTTCGTTATTTCAGCGTTCAAACGGCCCTAGGACCCACTATGACACTGCAATGTTGCAATTTGAGCAGTTGGTCAACAATAAACATTTTATACTAGCTTTTATTGATATATTAGAATCTCAGAAGTCCTTTAATATTCGAAATAAGTAAGCATCAAAAATTGTAACATTCAACTAAGTAATCTTAAACGTTTTAGAGTAAATGTAGCATCGTTATTAATGGTAGTTTTAATGGACAAAATGGAATACGCAACTGATATATTGAAGAGTTTGTTGTTGCGGTTGATAGATAAGTCTGTAAATACAAAACACCCTCAATTAATGTTAAGAAGGACGGAAAGCGTTGTGGAGAAAATGTTGACAAACTGGATGGCATTGTGCATGTATCACTACTTAAAAGAGTACGCCGGTTCATCGCTATTTTTGCTGTTCAAAGCGATCAAACATCAAATCGAAAAAGGTCTTGTGGATGCTATAACGCACGATGCAAGATATTCGTTGTCTGAAGAGAGGCTTTTAAGGGAGAACGTTGATCACAGTATGGTCACACTTCATATTGTCCAAGACGATCTCGACGAAAAAATTCAGTGCAAAGTTCTAGACTGTGATACAATCAGCCAAGTTAAGTCGAAAATTCTCGATGCACTCTTTAAGAACACACCGTTTTCCATGCGACCATCAATCTATGAAGTCGATCTGGGTAAGCAGTAGTCTCCTATTTAATCCACCTTAAGATTATTTTTAAGACAATTATTATTTCAGAATGGAGACATGGTAGAGGAGGGCATCTAACTCTGCAAGATGAAGACCTGACAACGAAAACCATGGGAGGTTGGAAAAAATTAAACACTCTGGCCCATTACGGTGTTAAGGAAAGCGCTGTTATGTCGTTAATATCACGTCAAAATGACAGTTTCAATAACTGCAAGCAACCGTGTCACAATTGCGTCACTGGAATGTATCTAAATAACTCTCAATCGCCAATAATAGCTACAAACGGAGATATTGAGGGAGGAGGTCAAAATCCAAGGATATATCACCTGATTAAGCCCATCGAAGATCATCAATTTCCAAACAACAAACTTCTTCTGGAAAGAACGCATAAAGCCATCCCGGAAATATTTTTAACGAGATTATTGTCCACGAAGGGTACAATACAGAAATTCGTCGATGATTTCTTCTTGACAATCTTAAGGGTGAACGATGGTCTTCCGCCGGCAGTCAAGTGGCTATTCGACCTGCTTGATGACGCCGCAAGAAAGCACGGCATACAAGATCCCGAAGTGGTCCATGCGTGGAAATCCAACAGTCTTCCTCTACGGTTTTGGGTCAATTTCATCAAAAACCCCGATTTTATTTTCGACATCAACAAAACCACAACGCTGGATTCTTGCTTATCGGTGATAGCGCAAACTTTCATGGACTCTTGCTCCACCACCGAGCACAGGCTTGGAAAGGATTCGCCTTCAAATAAACTACTATTCGCCAAGGTACGCAAATATCATATAAATTAAATTAAAAGTTTTTAACGCATTGTTTCGGCTTACAGGACATTCCAAGATATAGGGATATGGTATCGCAATTCTATCACGACGTTGCAATGTTACCTGTCATTACCGATCAGGAAATGGGTTCAGCGATGCAGCAATTGTCTGCGCAGCAAGCCGAAGAATTTGACACAGTGGCAGCTTTAAAAGAACTCTACATCTACGTTACAAAATACAGAGATCAAGTAAGTACTTTACCATAAGGTATTTTTTCTACTATATGTTTCCATGACACTAAGTGACCTTTTCAATACACCTTGACAAGCTATGACTTTGTCTATTATCAAATTGTGCAATGGTGGAAAAGTGGTGCATTTTTATAAGGCCAGAGTTTTTTATTTTAATTTCTTAAACTTAAAGTTCTTAATGTAATTGGTACCGTTATAAATACGAAAAAAATTATCTGGGAGAAAACAGGATCAAAAAAAGTTTTGAATGATAATTATTTATGGAAACAAGAAGTTTACTATCTTATTTTTCATTTTAAGCCGTGTTTTCAATAATTGCATGATTTAAAATTTACAGTTTGTAACTTCATGCAGTTCAAAGCATTAAAAAATAAAAAAAAAACATCAAAGGAAAATAGAGTTTACTTTCCTGTTTCACAACTTTTCCGCTTATGCAAAATTTTAATTTCTTTTTAATTACTTTAATATTTTAGAGGCGTTGTGGCAGTTCAAAACAAAGATTTCAAAAAAAATATTTTGCAAAAAATGTTTACTTTTCTATTTCACAACTTTTTCTTAAACGCAGAATTTAAAATTAAACCCGACCGCCCCTAAAATCTTAAATTGCAAATCGTTCTAAAGGTCTTTTAATTCCTAACAAGATTCACTATTTTTTTTTAATCTGTCAGTTTTCATGAAATTGCAATTTTAATTTTTGAGAAAAATATTTTTTTAAAACAACGAATGTATGTTTAAAGTGATTCCCTCTAACTTCCATGCAATAGTAAAGTCGTTGTTTAAAATGACAGATTCCAAACTAACAGCTTTCAAAATAATAGGTGTCAAAATGACAGGTGCCGAAAAAACATTGTCCGTTATTTTTTCTTAGAACCACGCCAGGGTATACAACTAGTGAGTGAAACCTTTTTATTAATGTTAAAAAAATGTGATTAATAAATTTGGAGCTTCAAGAACCCACACATTCGTTTTTTGTTTATCTCTAAATTTGAAAATATAAATAGCAATTTCTCGAAAACTAACTAACGGATTTTTTAAAATTACTTTTTATGAACATTTGTTTTCATTAAACACTCGCCTGATTAAAATTCGTGACAAAAATAGCGTTTATCAAAATTAAATTTTTTCTTTCAGATTTTGGACGCACTGAACGCTGATCCGAACTGCCGCAGGCTCCATCTGGCGCATAAGTTGGAAAGTGTCGGTTACACCTTGGGCGGCGAAGATCCGATAACTTGCTGACCTGAACAGTCACCTGATCTGTTGCTGCCTCTCGATTTACTAATGCCCGAATAAATTTTCCCTTCAACGGGAGTCGTCCCACCCACCCGACAAATTTCTCTCCAATTAAACTACTACTACTACTACAAAGTACAATGTACAAACGTTGTCAATTAATTTTTCACGGACGACTCCTTTTGAAAGTCTAAATTCGGGCGCCCCTTACAGCCCGTGGCGTAGCGTGTATAACTGTGATAAAACGCATGATCAGGTGACTGTGAATGGTGATGATGCGTACTTACTTAACCCCTCCACTCAAGCGGCCGCTAATTTCCTTCCATAGTGCCTCGCTACACTAAAGGGACGTCGGTACACTGAAAAATCGACAGAAAAATATCGCGCGACATTCAGTTGCAAACAATATTATTCCTGTCGTCTTTTAATTACAAACTAAATTACGATTAAAATAGCGTTCGGTCCGGTAGCTTAGTATAAGTACCAACCTAAAGTCCATTCAAATCCAAGCTGGACTAAATGTAAACACAATCCTCCGAATCGACCAATAAGAACTCACAATCCGAGTCACACCATCAGAATCGACCAATAAGAACGAGTTATCATGCGTCTGGGCGTTTTTGTTTAGTCCAGCTTGGATTTGAATACACTTTAGATCTTTTTTATTTGACATTTGCCCGACTGATTTTTGCATCAAGTGAGCTTTAATTTTACCGAATATTTATTATATTTATGTCAGCTGATTTTCTTATTAAGTGTTTGTTTGATTCAGTCGTGTATATGATGAAAATAGTGTGCCGGAACTACATATAAATATTAAATACATGCGCTGAAGGTGTGCAGTGCTGAGTAGCAATGCAAAATATCCCCACTCTCTTTTAAGGCGTTCGAAAGCACTCGGCACTGTATACCTTCAGCGTGAAAATACGGTATAAGTAAATAGGTATATTAACGGTGAATTCGTCTTCACGTTTCACGTCCAGTGATTTGTACGTTACTACTTTTAATTATGTTTAAATATAAAAATACTGCATTATTGTATCTTATCTATTTTTTTTGTAAATATTAATATAATAATATAAAATGTGCATATAGATAATTATTATATCGGATTTATAAAAGTGTTTATATATAAGTAAGCGTAAATTCATCGATAAATTAGAATGAGTTAGGATATCAGTTTTTTCATATTTTTACCTATAATGATAGCATTTTTTGACAAATTAATTAATGTAGGTACATACATATGTAATAGGTGCTTTTTTAAAATGTGACTACTTATCAATCTGTTCCTACACACTTGCAAAGTTTATTCTGTTGCGAACTAACGAAATGATCCAATTTTGAAAGAAATAAACAGTTTTCCTTAATATTTTTCTATAATAAAATGTGATAGTGCAAAGTTCGTAACAAAATGAACACAACAATGTAAATAAAAAATAACCTCAGTTTATTGATATAAATAAATGTGTATATTTTTATTGCAGCTCAGAATATTATTAAATAGATTTAATTAATTAATAGTCATATTTTAAATTAGCTTTTATAATTTTTTACATTTTAAAATATCGATGTCTCAATTTTAAAGTTAAATATACAAATGTTAGATAATGATTATTATGACAGTCTGTTAAACCACCATTAATTGATTCATATTTTTAACATACAACTCTCTTAAGTAGTCAAACGCGTGCGCAATGACGAAAAAAACTGACTCCGTATGCATCTAACTACTTAAGCCAATATTGCTAGAAATAATTTATATCTAAGTAGGTTCACCTATTTTACTGTACTGATGATATTATTTTTAGTAGGTTACATTTCTCTTTTATATTTTTGGTAATGTGATTGTGAATTAAAGCTTTTTACATAAAGTGTATTGTTTAGTGATATTTTTTTACTCTATTAAACATGTATTCCAAACTCACGTTACATATTTTTTTCTTTAAAACATCGACACTAAACCTCACTCATTTTTATGTTCCACATTTTTTCTCATTCCCATTATTACTTATACAACATAAACCTACCTACAGGCGAATAAAAAGAATAGTTGAAGTAAGTAAACACATATTTAATATCTTCTTAAGTCAGGAAAAATATTGATCAAATAATTGAAGAAAAAAAACCTGAAAACCTGTGAAAATCAAAAAAAGTGATATTTAATAAAACCAAAACCAAATGAGTTTATTGTGTTTTGATATTTCATAATTAAGCAGATGTTACAGATTTTTAACCGCAATTAATTATTTTTTACAATGTTTTAAGTCTAAAACCTATCCTCCGTGACTGTTACTCTTTCTAGGTTAAAAGCAATTACTTTTATAAACATTTATGTAGGCGTTTCAAAAATTGATTCTATCCTCCGTGAATCTGTTTTTTCTTTAAATTTTATGCAACGGATGGCGCTTTAATCATTTTAAATAAGCAAAAACCTCTGTTTACGAAATTATAGATGCATGTGATTCCTGAAGGTCAGTTAGAATTTATATGCAGATGAGAGTGTTGCTGTTTTATAATTCAAAAGTTTAAGTTCCTTAATTTGCCATTTAAAAACCTATCCACCGTGAAGTGTAGTATCTCAGTAAGTAGATTTTTTTATAAATATTTTATGTATGTACAATTGTATTTTTTTTTAATATTAAGGTGTCAAAAGATACAATAACTTATTTCAAATATACAAAGGGATATTTAAAAAAAAACATACGAAATCCTAACCTCCGTGAAGCTATCTTCCGTGAAGCTCTTAACATTCTTGCAGAAATCGTTTTTCTCGATTATTATTTAAGATTTGGAAAAAGGTAAGTAAATTAAACTTATTTTTCATAATTAAAAAAAATTACAAATAATAATATTATATCGCCAGGAAATATAGTTACATATAATATATCATTGATATTACCTATATTAAATAGTTAATTATAATTATTATATTCTCTCAACTTTATTTATTAAACTATACATAAAACATACAATTATTAAATTTTTCTAGTCTGGAACAAAGCCAAAGAAGGTTGGTTGTGTTTGGGATTTTGTTTTTTAGAGTTGGTAATAAATGTTGTGCGTTACGGTTGGTGTTACTGCGTGTCCGAATGTGCCCGACGAAAATATTACTGTGCGATTTCGGGTTGTCTTTACCAAGAATTAGCAACTGCTGCCGATTTTATAATAATTTATAAGATTACTTTGTTTATTTTTGTGTTTGAAGTGTTTCAAGAGAGTGATACAATCGCCAACTACCTCGAAATTTGAAGTAACTTATTTTCAAGGGATTTTCTTGTAATGTCATAATATTTTTTTGAAGAAAAGACGGTTAAACTGGTGTCTTATCCGTCAATATGGCGGACACATTTCTTACACATATAGATTTAAGAGAGTTCTGCAAGCAGTAAGTACATAATTATTCTCTAATTCATTTAACAATCACGTGAAGTGTTAGCTCGCTTTTGATACGACATTATTAATGCTAATGTCTACAGTTAAGCCGGATTCATCACGTATTTGTCAATTTGGCCAAGTTTTTTTGTGCGCTCTTTTTTCCCATGACCTCAAAAGATTAAACGATTTAACTTTGGTACAACAATCCCGAAGAATCTCAACCTCTTAAGAATCCTCAAAAAGTCCCTGAATGTTCCCAAAATTTTGCATTTTTTTGTTTGTTTTTTTTGCTGAAAACCCCCTTAAAATTAAACAAAAATCATCTGTAGATAAAGATTTAGTTTACATACTAAAGGTGGATTAAATTGTCGGAATATTCCCAAAATATCGTAATTTTGTTTGTTTTTTGGTCAAAACAATTTAAACCTTATTTTTTTGTTAACACTCACTACTAAAGTGAGCCTAGCATATAAAAATAATTCAGACCAATCGGGTACCTCCTAGGCTGCAAAGAACCAGTTAGGACTAATCAAAAAATTCAATAACTATCAGATCAACCTAACCTTACCTTCTTCATTTAATAATTATTATCATAATTGTATGTTTTATGTATCGTTTAACATATAACATGTTGTAACCATTTAGCAAAGATGTGCTTCGCTCAGTTAAAAAATTGAGCTAAGCATAAAGACACTTCTTGACCTAATGTCATAAATAACTAATTGTTATAAATATTTTGTTTTTTAATTTTCTACACTGTAGATCCTTCTAAATAAGACATCCTAAGCATCATATAAAAGCAGATTGTTTGTCCACGTGCGATAACACGCAATTTTTTGATTGTTTTTTGATAGAAAATCCCTGGTCATATTCTAGTAGCTATACTAAATCTTCCCAGTATTATCTTTTTTTGTTATTTTGTGATGCAAAAAAATTAAAAAGCCTAAAGAGAAAATTCCTGGAATATTTCTTTTTTACTATATGCAGGCTCTTCTAAAACTCTGTCTATAATAAACCTTTATTCAGTTTAATAATAAAAACAAAAGAACTTATTAGTAAAACCATGTCACAGTTAAAAAGTGTTCTTGTTGAAATTTGTTTTTTTTAATTGATTATATTAAAAGAAAAACTTCTTTACATTGTTATTTTCTGTAAATATGTACATTTCCAATAAAGGTTAACAAGTAATTAACGTCAAAATTCTTTTTTTTTTTTTTAAAGAAAACAATTGACGCGTTTGGGCACGTGCGATATAACGTGTCCTTACGAAACTTCTCTTTTATACAACCAATTCTAAATATAATCATTATATAATTTGAATTGTACCTATTATTTCGAAAGGTTTTCCTAGCCGTAAAAATATTGCATGAAGGTTGTTTTCAGCATGTAGGTATTTTTTAACAAGTGTTTTAATTGATTTTAGTTTTTACCACAGGGGCAACTGTCCGAAAGGTGACTCTTGCAAATACTCGCATAAACTGAAGTCAGAAATTGAAATGCGTGGCGAGTTGGCCGACTGTATTGTAGGCAAACTAAGGCCGCCGAAAGTTTGCCGGTACTATCGTCGTGGCAACTGCATCCACCAGCAAAATTGCCTATTCCGTCATGACAATGACGTTATTGCCACCAATCTTATCAACGCTAATAATAACCAATCTTCAAGGTACCAAAAACCCAGTCACTTTCTACTATTTGAGAAATTCTAAGGTTTCGTCAAAATTTTCAAAATTCACCACTTTTCAGTATGTCCAAAACGCACTGTCAAGGTCTTGACCATAAGCTTTTATTAAATAAATATGTAGCACTACCCTTAAGTTTTTATTTTGTTTGTCTGCTTGATTATTCCCAAAAAAGGTGAAACAAAATTTTTCTTTCAGAAAAAACTATTGGCCAATTTTTTTTGGATATATACACTATAGGCCAAAAGTAAAGAAACATTTTAAAATTTTTGTTAAATTGCCTTTTATTCTTTTAGCTTAAAGTGGAATAAATATATACGTTTTATGGTGTACTTATTTGGTAATAAATATAAGGTTAAAATTATATAGTAATACAATTTTATAGTAAGCGGCCAAAAGTAAAGAAACAAAATATTTTTCTAAAATAAAGAAACAAAAAATTAGTAATCATTATTTTTGATAACTTCTGCACATGAGGAATTTTGTTTGTTTATATAAATATGTATACATAAAGAAACAAAAATCATTAACAATTATCTAAAAAAAAATAAGAAAAAAAAACAAGACTAGGTATAAAAATTAATTGATAGTAACTAATATTGATATTGATAGTAATTGATATTAACTAATAAGATTATTCCATAGTTTTTTAATTCCTATAAAGAAAAATTCAAAGCCTCTGAAAACATTTATTGATAAAAAACACTGCTTAAATATATAAGTGCCGGAGAAAATAATAAAAGATCCTCCTATTTCTTTCCACCATAAAAGTGAATTCATGTTTTTTGAATGTACAGGTAAATTGTTGTATTCAGCTATTTCCATTTTAAACCTTTCAAATTTGCATCTCTTCTAGATGGTGCAAAAAATTCTTCATAAGCTTATTAGGGCTGGGATTATTATAGAAGTGAAATCTTTTGAATATAAATGCATATTTAAGTGGTTTGGCAAAAATCGGTCGAACCCTACTTGACAGTAAAAAATAAAAATTAAGAGGGTAGTGCTAAATATTTTTAATAAGACCTTGTCTTCCTGATCTGGGAAGTTATTATTGTGCATATAATACACTCAAAATTTATTAAAAACAAACCCTGAAAAATACGCGAGTATTGTTTATTCGGTAATTAATTGTTTCGTTTTTTTTAGCACAAACTTGCCATCTACCTCCAGCCAATCAAATAATAATAAATACCCAGAAAAGAAGCAACCGTCAAATGATGCCGAAAAGGCATTAATCGACTCGGTGATCGAGGCTCAACAAAATATTGATACTAGAAGGTAAAAATCTTGTAGAAACAGGGTTCCCGTTTGTCATAAAAATTTTTAATATCATAAAATAGGTTAAATTGTCCTAAAATGTCATAAAAACTACATTTTGTCATAGAAATCATAAAATTTCATTATTTTTGAACAATTTTCTCACCTTTGATCTTTTTTATAGAATGGAAATTTTGTTAAATAATCTTTAAAGCCGGTCCTGTAAAATAAAACGCAATAATGTTTTAAAAACGGCCTTGGTTGTTGACGTATAAACTTCATAATATGAAGGAAAACTTTGTTTAATCTATGGGAATTTCAAAATTTGAAATAAATAATGAGAATGGTAAAGTTATTTTTATACTATATTACTTTATAAAAGGAAGGCAGAAAGCGCAAACGCAAAGAAGGACTTGAAGAAATTGATAGTAGTTTGGCAAGTTAGGAAGCAGAGTTAAAAATAGCAAGAAATTTTATTTCTGAAGGAAATAAGAAATTATCAAAGTACCTTAGCAATAAGATTACTCTTAAAAAATCTAAAATATTGGAGGCTCAAACAATGATTAACATGGGTCTCAAAAAAGCAAAAAAAATAGTATGCGGTTTTATTTATTTTGAGATTATAATACCTATTAGTAAGATACTAAAGTAGCATATATTAAAAATATAATAGAAGAAATATTTATTTTGATGCGAGAAAAAATATTTATTTTTATATAATAAACCGTTAAAAAATTACATATTTTTTATTAAAATAACTTAAGAAATAATAAATTCTTGTCATAAAAAGTGTCATAAAATTTGAAAAATTTGTCATAAAATCATTAAAAAAAGTATCAAACAATGCTGGGAACCCTGCAAAATAAAAATCATGTTGAAGTTCGATTTTTTGCGTAAAAGTTTTTAGGGTCTAAATTTGATTATTTACAGAAAACAGAGCTCGTCGACTGACTCGGAGAGTCCGAAGTCCGACAAAAACGAATCGTCGGCATCCAACGAAGAGTCTGAGGGCGCGTGCGCGTCCCCCCCGCTGAAACCGCCCCCCACCCCGCCGAACTTGTCGTGGGCGAACGCGCCGGAGTTCGTGCCGCGCGTGCGCAGCTACGCGCAGGCGCTGCACCCGAACGCGGGCGCGCAGAAGATGGACAAGGCGAACTGCGCGGGCGGAAACCCGGCCAAATTGTGCCCCTACGTCAACAAAGACGGCGTCTGCAGGAACCTAACCTCGAATTGCGCTTACCTGCACGGCGAGATGTGCGACATGTGCGAGAGATTGGTGCTGCATCCGTACAACGAGGAGTTGAGGAAAAAACATCGCCAAGAGTGTATACAGCAGCACGAGAAGAATATGGAGCTGTCGTTCGCGATTGCGCGCTCGAAAGAAAAATCCTGCGGCGTGTGCTTCGAAGTGATAATGGAAAAGGCCACGGGAGAGCAGAGATTCGGCATTTTGCCCAACTGCAATCATTGCTTCTGCCTAACATGCATCCGGAAGTGGCGACAGGCTCGCCAATTCGAAAACAAAATTATCAGGTAAGCCTTTACCTTATTCTATTGTAACGTTTTTACTGTTCGTACTATTTATTTTATAACTTAATTACATTTTAAACACTAAGAAACTATTTGCCGCGAGTACCAAAACGTGACTGACTGTTCCATGCAAGCGCCTTCTCGAATATTTCAGCGAGCTCCGGACCGCTCTCGATCGCTACACTATCATCCTTTATGATAAAGCAGGGCTCCCACACCTCCTAAAACTCATAAAATTCCTCAAATTCGGCTTCAATCTTGAAAACTCCTAAAATTCTTCTAAAATTTAGTAGGCCGACTTTGTCTGCGTTTAATTAAGGTAGTTGTGCTAAAAAAAACTAATTTAAAAAAAATATATTTTTAGTTTCTACTTTATTACGTTCTTTTTAAAATGATATATCACAACAAAATATACCTAAAAACATCATCTAAAAATCTCAAAACTAGAAACTTCAAGCTTCAAATTGCTTTTTTTACGGCTCCAATACGACCATTTTTAACAAAGATCCGAAAAATCGCAAAAATTTTGGAATTTTTTTTATCCTGTAATTTTTTCTATTAGTGGAGAAGTTTTACATTGCTATTGGTTTCTTATGTGGAAACTACCAAATAAGATTTTTTACTCTCGGTCAAAATGTTCAATACTTTATTATTTATATACATTTTACTCAAAATTTCATTGTTCATGTTTTATTTTTCTGAAAAAATACCGTTTTTTACATCTCTAGTTATATATAAGGGTAATTTTCAAAATTCTTGTACATTTAAAAAAGAAAAAGTAAAAACAAAAACTTTATCTACAAACTCTTTTTTTTCCAAATTTTGTTTATTTAGGGGTGTTATTTGACACCTAAAAGTGGGCAGATGGATTTTTTAAAATATGCCCTTAAAAAAGAAAATGCCTAAATATTTTGAAAATATATTTTTTTGCTTGTTAATAATCATTTTAAGATTTTATTTACACTAGGATTTGTTTAAAAAAAGAACATAAATTAATTACTTATAAAAAAATTTTGAGTACAAAACTAAGTAAAAGCAAAAATTTTTATTATATTTTCTGTATTTAAAGAATGTCCATTAAAAAAGGTAATTTATAAAAATAATATAGTTGAGGGACAGCATAGGTACTAGAAATTTAAAAATAACCCATAAACAAAAGGATTTTTAATTTTCTTTTAAATGATAGCCTAAATAGTAAACAATTTAAGAATGTTTTGCTGTATTATACAAACTTTATTTTTTTTCTATTATGAGATTTATGAGTAACAAGGTCCACATTACAATTATTAACTAAATCCAGTTACCGCCATCTTAGTTCATTCCAGCCTTTGAATTTAAATATTATTCTCTTATGAAATTCATCGAAATTTCTATGAAATTATTCGATTTTTGAATTAAATTGTCGCATAATTTGAAGATCATACGTAAAAACTAAAATCTAAAAAGTCACAATATTAACATTTCAAGAAAATATTATTAATGAAAAAAAACTATTTTATATGGTTTTTCAATCAAATAAAGTATATTGTTTTAAAGTAAATAATATTTACTAAATACCAAATAAAATAAATGAAAAAAGTGCTAAAAAAATGTATTTTTTGTTTTTTGTTTTAAAGCAAATATAAAGAATGAAACTGCAAGAAAAATGTAAACAACATATTTTTTTTAAATTTATTTATTACAAATAATTGCAATTTAGATTTAGTTGCCAAATAAAAACCCTAAAAAAAACATTGAATAAAAAAAGCTAAACTTTTGAAAAATATTATTTTATGGTTTTCTAATGCTTTTGTTTCAATCCCAGGCCATTTCATTGGCTGTCCTTGAAGATCATTAGCTTCCTTGTCTTGGCACATTTTCTGCACAATGCAAAAAGAAAGATTTAATTTTGATTAATTTTGTTTTTCTAAAAATGTAAACAACACTTTTTTTAAATTTATTTATTACAAATAATTGCAATTTAGATTTAGTTGCCAAATAAATAATAAATAACATTGAATAAAACAAGGTAAACTTTTGAAAAATATTATATTATGGTAAAAGCTGGTTTTCTAATGCTTTAAGATCATTAGCTTCCTTGTCTTGGCACATTTTCTGCACAATGCAAGAAGAAAGATTTAATTTTGATTAATTTTGTTTTTCTAATTTTATTTTAATTTCTTTTGATTTCTTACAGTTTGTCCTTAAAGATCATACGCTTATATATTTTTTTAATAGATTAGCTGTTAAGTGTTAAGTAAACCATATCACTTTTAAAGACTTTTTTATGGAAATGTATTTTGTATGTTTTTTCAATCCAATTTCTATATTACTATCTTCAAAGTAAATGGAACAAATACAAGTGATAAAACAACAAAAATATTAACATACTTTTTATTTTATTTATATATCTGTCAAAAACTGCTTGGTTTCTTTTCTCTGTTTAAAATTATATAAGCGTTACTATTCTTACGTAGTCGTAGAGAAAATAATGTCTGAAACACGTTTGGAATAGCATATTCCACTCTCGTAAAACCGTCACACTCGCCTTCGGCTCGTGTGTTAAATTTTTCCTCGAGCGGAATATGCTGTATTCCAAACTTGTTACAGAATGTACTATTTTTCATCCATTTTAGTAGTTACTAGTTGTCTAATTTAACCAAAATAAAAAAGATACCCTTGGTAGCATTTTCTGCAGCAATGTGTTGTTTTTAAGGGCCTGCCCGGAGTGCAGAGTAACTTCGGATTTCGTATGCCCGAGCATGTACTGGGTGGACACAAAAGAGGATAAGGAGAAGTTGATAGACGACTACAAAAAGGCTTTATCGAAAAAAGACTGTAAATATTTCAAGAGGGGCCAAGGAAAATGCCCGTTCGGCAACAAATGCTTTTATTTGCACGCCTTTCCCGACGGCAGCAAATGCGACGTCGGACCGCCGCCGCGTCAACGTCGTTTTCACGGATTCGACACTTCAGACATCGAAGTTCTGCAGGTAAGATCGATTTCATTGCTGAACAATTGTGCATTAAAACATTCCCCCCCCGTTGTCTTTGCCATCTAATCACTAACCGATTGTGTGTGTAGTTTGTATTTTCAAGTCCAAAAAATAGGAAGAATGTTTTCGAAATTCAAAATTTGCCGCTTAATTCGCTGCACGCATGCGCATAAGGCTTTAGATAAATCATCCTCTCGACTGCGCTTGCGTTATTTTACTAACACGCTTAAACGCCCTAAAAACGACAAACTTCTTATATTTTGGACCGTTTTAAACGACGGAGTGTTTTATCGAAACGCTCCGTCTTTGTTTGTTGTTTTGCTTTTTGTACTAACCCCATAGAAAAATTCACTTTTTGTGTTTTCCAAATTATCTCTAACATAACATTCCTAATGATTGAATCAATACTCTCAGATAACAGATATCAGCTAAATAAAATTCATACTTTTAACGTGTTAAAAACCAAAAATACAGTGACTAAATATTTAAGGAAAATAAGAACAACATAACGTATAACGTAGACAAATTACAATATTTACATAAAAAGTATGATAAATTCCTTAAATGTTTTTGTGTGCTAACGCTTTCAATTTAATTAATAAAATCCTAAAAAAAATTGTCAATGTTTAACGGTATTTATATATATTATTATTTATATTCTTCATTATTTTAAAATATAGTGAAAACATTGACATTATGTTGTAAGTCATCTAAAATATACTTTTAAAGCACATTTTTGTACAAAAATTTATAAATAGCATTAAGAGTTTATTTTACTGTTTATCAAAATGTGGAGGTTTAACTAGCAATTTTATTTTTATTATTTGACAAAGTTAATACCGGAAAAAGTTTAAGATCAAATTTCGTTGGTTAATAAAATACTATACAACAACACAATTGATTTATTTAAAATATAGAATTTTAATCCAAACAAAAGAAATTATATGGCTTACTTCTAAAACCTTGTACCTGTAAAAGAATTGTTGAATTAAATTACCTACTCGTTGATAGATGGCGTGACAAAACAATAGCTAAGTTTAAATATCTACTGTGCCTCCACATTCTGATAAAATTGGGGATAAGGAAATGAAAAGTCGTAGGTAGATAATGATATTGCACTGGGCAACAGTATTTTTGATAAAATTGTGTGTTTTACTGAACAAATACAGGTTAACACAAACATACCTACTAAAATAATTATTTCTATGGGATGTCTCCAGAATAATGTATAATTTAATTTGTAATGGGTTGGTTAAGTTGGAATCAAAAAAATCGAAATTGGTATTATATCTTTCCAATTATCACATCCGGGAGTATCTTATATTTAACAATTTTACAGAGCATTTAGCTAATAACATTAAATGTACTACTTCCAAAAAATAATCTTTAAAATGCTCTGTAAAATGGTTAAAAACATGAGATAAGCCCTAATGTAATAATTGGGACAATATAATGGCAGAAAAGTAAAATTTTGTTGCCTAGTGTTAATTCGCGCATGACCAGTAAGGGTTAAGTTAACTGAATAATGTTATTTCTCCTGTAGCAGGTAATGCTATGGGAAATCCTAGATGAAAGTGAATTTCCTTGGACATCTCTCGATGATATAGAAGATTTGGTGTCTTTTTTTACAGATTCGGATGAATCCGACTGGTCGGACTACGATTTATTTTTCGATTAGTTATCGTATTATTAGTATTCATCATTCAAGGAATTTGTTATTATTATTGTAATCACTCTTCGATTATATTATTTTTTTATATTCAACAAAAATCTACTTTTTTGGTAAAATTTGTGTAGAATATGAATGTAAATACCTACTGTTATGTAATAATGTTATTCTTTTATTTCATGGCAATAACTTGATTGTTGTTGCTTCAAAAATATGTAAAAATAATAGAAGAAAAAAAAGTAAAGAGATGCAGGCTGTTTTCTTTTAAAAAAAATCGTAAAACTTTCAGAATCAAGTGAAAATGTAATAGATTCTGGTGTCATTGGTACTATTTTATAAAATACACTACACACATGCCTTTTAAAACTACTGGATGACATTTTAAGAATGTCACCCTTTATACAATATTTCTTTCTATACTGCTTCCCTGTAAGTCATTTAATATTAGTGTGATCACATATACTGTCTAAATTTTTGCTAGACACGAATATTATCTATATAATTTGCTTATTTGTAAATTTTAACCCCTCAACAATTTATCACTGCAAAATTTTCCTTTTTCTTTCTTTACTTTATAGTAGTAGTAGTACATGTTTGTGTTGTGTCACTAATACAATTGAAAGACCCCAACCCCGTTATTAACCCTCCAAACGAATTCCATTTGGATTCAAGCAGCAACGATTCAGATTTCGTTAAATGCTCTTTGACTAACCCAACACACAAAAAGAACGGAACATTAAAGGAAATCTGATCAGACATCAGTGCCTGTATTCAAATGGAACTCGCGATATTTTTTTATTATAACAGCTTTTCAGCCAGTATGTAATTATGCAAGCGTGTTTTAATGTTTCTTGATTGGTTGACTGAACCCCCACCCCCCAAAATGCTTCACCCCAAAAAACGCTACCCGAAAACCATTATTAATTCTCTTTATTTAGGTCACTGCAGCTATGGCAACGGAAAGATCCGAATGGGTCCGAAACACAAATTTGAACGATGTTATGCACTATATAACGAATACGTTGCGCACATTTTTGTTCTAAATTGCTATATCCTCATTTGCAGTGATATTTTAGTTGAAGGTGCTCACCAGTTTAAAATTTCTATTTTGTATTTATTGTCATGGCCAGTTTATATGTTTTTCGTAATGTTTTGTTTGTTAGGTCAACCAAACACTATTAGGCGTGCGCAATCCCTTTATAAATTTCATTGCGCACGAGCACTGTAATGAGACTCGATCAAAATGTTTAGTGGATTATATGTAGTTATATATGTACGGTGGTCAAACACAAATGAATATCTTCCTCCCCATTGATCAAGGGATTGATGATTTATATTGGACTTGCAATTAATCTAAGTCATAAAAGTTGGATTAATAAAAAGTATGATCCCTTGATTAAATTTTTTATATATGCGATCTGCGCTATAAACCACTTCACTTATACGTAGTGTTACTTCATTTGTGAAAATGTGAAACAATACAAACTACATTTGTCTGATTTACCAGTGTGATGTCGCTTTAAAATGTTGACAGGGCTAGGATTTAAATGTTTTTTGTGTCATTGGGCAGTTAGTGACAGTGTTAGCTCTAGCTTGTCTGTCTATCTACCAATTATGTAATAATGATGTTTAAAAAATGTAGTGTTTGGCAAAGGAGACCAGAAAAGCAGGGGGTTAATTGGGGTTGCAGTAGTACAGCCATGTCAAAAAGATCTGTGATTGTTAGCGTTAGTATTTTAGTTACATCTTCGTTATAACTTTGCTATGTTAAATTTACGAATTATTTTACCAGTTAATTGTTACATCATATAGATAATGGTAATAAACAAATTCATTGTAGCAATATTGTCAAGAAAATTGTCCGTCTTGGTTTTCAATAGTAGATACTGAATGTATCTGAAATGGGTTAGTTTATCTTTATTATTATGTATTTATTAGTCATTATTTTTAGCTGATAAAAGGCTTGTTTGTAATTTGTGCCTAAATAGTTTATTGTTTTGGGATGAAGGAATGTCGTAATCAATGGGGATTATCACTTATTACTTGCAGCAGCAGAAGCTACTAATTTTACGTTTTTAATGGGTATTATATATTGTTAGTTTAGATATTAAAAAACAAAGGGTTTTGTCAGTGTGAATCCTTAGTAAACTAACTGCCTATTACAAAATTATACTACCCTCTATGCTATGAATATTATTACTTTCTTAGTGCTATTTGCTGTTCTATGTTGAGTGTCACTTTTAATATTTTATTATGTATTTAACAAACCCAGATGTATCCTAAATTTAGGCTAAAAATTTATGACTGTAAACTTTTAAATATCCATTGTTTTCATTTTTTATTCTGTACTTACTTACATAAATAAATGCTACAATATAAAATACACTACTTTCATTTTATACCCTACAAAGTCTTAGGGGACATCCATTAATTACGTGAGGCATTTTTCTGATAATTTGGACCCCCTCTATGCCTCACGTGAGATTTTAGCCACTAAACTTTCTTTGCGGACATGTTATAAAAAATGATTAATTTTTTTTTACAAATTTGAATTATAATACATATAATGCTGTTCCTTTCGGTTTTTCCTAATGTATTTTTTTTATTCTAATCACTTCTGTATTGAGGCGAACAAAACTAAAAAACATTTAAATCGGTTGAGTTTTTGCAGGACTAACGCACGGTGATTCATTTTTATGTACATATATTGATTACCAAACAATTATTAATGTAAAAAACCGTTTTTTTTCAAATTTAAAAAAAAAACGTTTTAATAAAAACCAAACATTGTTTTTTTAAATTATAAAAAAACTTCCATATTAAACTGTTGCTTGACAAAGCAAACTACAGCATCTTCTGCCGCAACTATTTCCGGGGAATCCCCTACTATTAAAAGTACCAAATCGCTTCTCTTACGTGCAATAATATAAATTAGAGAATCACTAATAGTTTTTGCCTTTATTAACTATAAAGGAAAAAATAAACCGCCGTTTTTCTTATATCAAAAAACGGGTTTTTTCGGTTTCCAACACAACAAATAATATTAGCAGTTTAAGGTATGTAAAAAAACAAAATTTATTGGAACATCTATTTATTTAAAATCCCTGAGAAATCCTGAGTACAATAAAAAATTCCATAAAACATTTTCTCATTTATTTAGCCTTCCTTTTAACCCCTTTTTTAGCAGATGTTTTCCCAATGCTTCTACCAAACCGGGCACAATAAGCTTCCATATTAAATTTACGCTTCAAACTGTAATCGACCATGAAACGAATTTTTCCGAAAATTTCCCTTTCGCCCCAACCTTGATCGTGTACGCAGCAAATTGACCACATCACACCTTTAAAAAAAATCTTACAAAAGTTCATCAAAAATTTTTTATTTCCTACCTACAAACCCATTAGGGCATGTACCGTCCAAGCTAAAAGTATCATTTAGCCACAACCCAATCTCGATAGCTTCTTCGGGAGTTTTGGTCCACTCCAGTATTTTTTTACACCAATACATACGCATGTAACCGTGAATTTTACCCTCCTGGACCAGCTGCAAAGTTGCGGCATTCCACATCTCGTCGTGTGTTAACGCCTTCTCAAACTGATCTCTTGTATACGTATACACTCTTTTATCGCTCCTGTAATTACATTTTTTTTTAACATTTTTAAGTTTTCAGATTGTCCAAAACTTTGGGTTTAAACTAAATTTGCAACATTATGATGCGCAGTAAGACTAGTGATCTGCGCAGTAAAACAAAAATTCATACTTATGGTCCAACAAAGTCTTTCTGGCCCATTCTGCAGCTCCATTAATATTGTCATAGTTAGAGTTATAGAAGCAATAATTTTCCGCCAATTCCCTTCTGACTATTAATTCTTCCAAATATTTATCCACCTGTTCTTTGCAATTTTTCTCCACGCTTTTCACTTCCAAAGCTACCCGTTGAGCGGCAATATGACCTAAAGAACATTTTTTATATTGAAAATGACTCTAACCACTAATTTTTATCACGAAAAAAAAAACACAATGCATATCGTTTTTTTAAACTTACCGAATCTTATCCATGGGGATAAATTGCTGGTATGGTTTTTGGATGGGTCATTACTGGATATCCCATAATACTGCAATCTTTCTTGCATAAAACTCAACAAGGTGTTATATGCACCCTCAGCGCCTGGCTTAGCCCATTTAACAATTTCCACATCATATAAGGGTTTATAAAAATCGTAAACATCATCGACATTTTTTAATTTTTTATCTGTGTCCAATTTCCCTTGATAATTGTGCTTGCAGACCTCAGGAAATCCGGTTAAATATTCCGGAAGTTGTTTTGTTATTTTTGGCCTTATTGTTTTCGCCATTACTTCTTGTTTTTCAGAAGCTAACCAAGCTGGTACAATGTTATGAGCATCCACCTTTAATTTTTAGTTATAAGTTAATAGCATAAAGTATAAGATGCCTTTTATCTACAGTAAATGACATAATTGGTTAAATTATGTTTAACACTGAATAATGGGTAGGTTTTGAATCCAAAATTTCAACAGTATTGTTTTTTAAAAGAAAATAATTACACTACAATAATTAAGGGTTTTTGTTTTATTTTTGCTACCAGTTCACCTTAAAACTATTAATGAATCAAGTAAATAACTTTTGTTTACTCCTTGAAAATTAATTTTTATTTCAGCATTGAAGTGTGTTTTGCAATATTTATTAATAAAATATTTCTCAATGATGTTTGTACACACACACACGAAATTTTAACAGTTTACAAACCTTAAGGTAGAGAAACACAGTGTTATATGTAGTGTAGAAGTGACATGTAAGTACAAACCAACATACAGGGTGTTTTTGAGTACACACTATACTATAACTTTTAAAATAAGTATATAAAAAACATTATGAAATAAAGTTGCTGGAAATTTTAATTTATATATTCATATAGGTAGTTAATTTTTCACCCTCAAAATTTTTTATTTAGGTGTATAAGGTACGTACCTCAATTAGGGCAACATTTTTATCCAAATTATCCTTCAAATAGTTCCTCCATTCGACAGGCTTCTTTAAAGGATCAAAATCGAGAACAACAGCTCCAATTTGGTTGTCTTCAACTATTTTTACAAAATCCTTGACATTTGCCTTCAAAAAATGAAAACCAATTTTTTTCACTTCACATTCTTTTTGTATTTCTTTGAAACCTTCAAGGGCAAAATGAAGGTGCCTTTTTGTGGGATACAAGCAGTTAAACTCTTTAGTTAACACACAAATATGTAATGGTAGCTTATTCTGCAGAGCTAATTTTTGTGAGTACAGTACAGCCCAATTATCTTCAACTCTACAGTCTCTACTCATCAAATAAATAATTCCTTTACTATTTTTCTTCAAATCATCCGTTTTAGAAACAACCCTTAATCTACTCTTATTAAAGCAAAAATGCTCTATATCGCCTTCTGCAGCTCTAGCTTCTGATATATTTTTAATAAATACATCTTTAGTTAACTTGCTTAACAGTACTGCTCCAGACGCGTTTTTAGGCTTTAATGATGCCATAATGTGTTTATTTTTTGATAGTTATTGCCTTAAGATAACTCCTAACCAGTTAAACAAACACAACCATATAACAAATGTACGCAACTGTCAAATATGACGTAAGTAACCATAGTAACCAAATTGTTCTTTGGTAACGCACTTGAACAAAAACGTTTAAAACATAGATAGAGGTTTTCTTATGAAGATAAATATATTTGTATTATTATGGGCGAAAACATAATTTTTGTTTTTATATATTAATTACAGTTCATTTTTTTGTTATACAAAAAATTTAATTTTAATAATCCTATTTTATATACGCATAGGTAGGATTATCCCCTGGGATTAAATGACTCCCAGTATAAAATACTATTTACTAATTTCAAATACAACCTAAAACGCACCAGAATTTTTGGACCTATCAAAAAGTAACAGAATTCTGACGGTGATTGCACTATCTATATTTAAAATGTTTTTGGTTCTTGTAAGTTGGAGGGGATACAAACAAAGAATTGGGTCATTGCTAACTTCACAGTTGTGTATAGCTCTTTGTTTTGTTCGTAAGTCGCTACAGAGTCGGTTATGAACGTAAAAGCGCGTATTGTCTTGTGTAAAACGATGTTTTGTTGGATTTAGTGGCTGCAGGGTTGTTTGCTTCGAGTTTGGTTGGGGTGAGATGGAGAAATTGCTTTAAATTTGAATGTTTCGTTTTGTTGTGAGAAGTTAGTTGTGCAATAGTACCACTACCCCGGAAATATTTGTTGGGGACTTGATGTAATACTGCTATTTCATTGTGTCATTCACAGTCAACCGAGTAAGAGTCACTTTTCAAAGTGATTTTAAGAGTTTTGTGTAAATTTTTGGCCATCACATTAAGTAGTAAGAGATCAGCAGCTATTAAGTGTACGCAAAAGCATCCGGGTAAGTTATAAGAGAGAATCAATTGTTTTGTTGAAACAATATTCTAAAATAAAACCATTTTCCGTATTAGGTTTTAGGCCTGCTCCTTTATTTGCTCTAACCGAATTTTGCTAATACAACAAAATTATTGGGTATGGTAACGTGTGTTCATTGACAAACAAAAATACTACAATGGACCACATTAGCAAAAAGGGGAGCAAGCCTTTACCGGATGCTGGGAACATGAAGTACCTAGCCTTCAAACTTGAAGAAGCTTTAGCAGCTGAGCAGCTAGTCTGCAAGCAAAACTTACTACTAATTCAAGAAGACCGTAAGCCAGGGGAAGTAACAATAGCATCTCGTGATGGTGCTGTACACATATTCAGATTCCTCAGGATCTGGTTTGATTTACCTTCAACAGTATTCTTCAACGCAGCTTTATACCTAGACCAATTCCTCGCTAAAATCAAGGTAAGTCATATATTTTTTATTTTTTATTATCTCAAAAGTGTCATTCATATAGGTAACAAAGTTTGTTACACAAACATTAAATTACTTATTTCTCTATAAAAACGTTTTTTTATGTAAAATGAACCCTTTAGGAAATATCAAGTTTCGAAGCCTTTTTGCCATTTAAATCATCACAAATTTCCGAAATTCGTTTTCAGACTCTGAAATTCAGACTTGTCGAATCTTGTCTAAAACGTTCAACCTTGAGAACTATTACTGTTTGATGATTAATTTAGCCGCATGTATGTATTTTTAAAGCGCTAGCTTTCCGATACCGCATTTTATACGTTAAAATTTTAATATGATGATAACCTAAATACATTTTTACTATTGCCCAAACTTGGACTTTACACATTTAAATGTTCTTTCAAACTTCATTAGGTTTATCATTGTTCGACTTTTAAGCTCAAACAACGATTTTATTAAATTCCTTTGTTCTTTGATAATTTTTCTTATCTAAAACGTTGTTTGAAGCATTTTTTTACCATAGGTATTTCCCAACACACAATTTTGTTTCAATATAAGATTTACCCAAATTAAATTTAAAAACTATTTAAAATGATTTTTAACCATTAATATAATGTGAAAAATTCGTTCAAGCGTAAAAAATATGTTTATAGGTATATTTTTTATCTTGGACAATTCGGAAGTATTTATGAAAGTTTATGCATATGTAAATATTTAAATTAAAAACCGTTTGGAAATAAAAACTATATGGTGTCAACAAAACGAAAATGCGCGCCTAAAATTTGTAACTTGTTTACACGTCCAAAAAAACCGTTATATAGATATAAAAAATTATTCACGATTAATTATAAAATCAAAATTAGACAATGTCCAATGACCCTTGTTAGTTGGAAATAGGTAATGTCTGTAAGGGTGTGTAGGTAAAATTCTTAGGGTATTAAAATACGTCACCAAGAATTTCAGACAGGTTTAGACTTGTCTGAAGTATCTTTGAGCCTTTCAAAATTCCTTTGTTTAATTTTATTTTAAAATTTTACAGTGGATTTCTACAAAATGTTATCTAATATGCGGGTTCGTCAATATTTTTGTTTATGTCGGTTTTTTTTTTCGGATGATATAATTTGTCATTGTGCCAAAGTATTTTAGATAACTATTTTTCTGGAAAAAATATATTTTTGTTTTGTTTGTTATTTCAATATGTCATGTGTTTTTAACAAATTTTGCAATTTAGATAATTTCGAAAATAACGTTTATATTATTGATTATATTTGTTACCAAGTGGATTTTTCCACGCTTTTTTATTTTTTGTGCTTATTTCAAAGTTAATTAGTCATTTCTGATTACCTCAAAATATGAATGTTTATTTCATACTAATTTTTTCCCTAGATTAAATCAGACTTATTCCAAATAAATATGTAAATTTCTCTATAAAAATAAAACTTAATATGATATTTGAAAATTAAGTGTTAAATGTTAATGGACTTAAAAAATACAGCGTTTTAGGCCACTCAATATATATATATTTGGACTTTTTTAAATTAATTATAATTTTATCTTTGTTTTGCATTTTAAAAATAAGACGTAAATTCTTACGCAATACTGTTTAAGTTAAAAACAGGTTTTATAATATTAAATCGCAAACAAATACCTACGCTTAAATTTTCGGGCTATAAAAGGGAAGTCAAATTTGTGGCAGATGAAAAAATATATTCGTCACTGCCATGTTGAATGGTTCTTAGATACATACAGACAATATATCGTCACCTAAATACTTGATAATTTAATAATAATAATAATTTAATAAGACACATTTACGTTGCAGTAAAGGGAGCTAGAGTTATTTAGTTGCGGCATTGATCAGAAAATTTGACGTAAATAACATAGAACTGGATTCTTATATTTTTGAGTTACCCAGTTGTGTAGTATTAAGGGAACGGATATTGTCTGTACTTTTTTTAAACATTTTTGATACATTATCTTATATACTTCTTAGTAAAACATTTTAATGCGTTTAGTAGTGTGTGGTTTACCCAAAAATGATATATATCAGCTTTAAGTGCGTCTAACGATAAATTCTTGCAAATCATTAGTTAACAGTAAAAACACTAATGGGTCCGGCATGTACCCTTGTGGCACACCAAAATTATCATTTTTGGTGTAGTTTTCTAGTTAAGCGATAAAACCATACTATAAAACAATTAACTATGACGAAAAATTTATCTGTCACAATTACTTTGAGGAAATGTTATATCTACTATGATTATTAACAAATAACCTTGCATTTTAACTGGTGTAACCTTGTGCTAAATCAGCGTCCTCATGATGATTAATTCAAAAAATAATATAAAATGTCTCGTTTTTATTCTATTTTTAAATTGATAAAAATAAGTGCGCACGTTTGTAAAAGGGCATAAAACCGTCATTGTGTAGGTATTTTGAGCCTTTAAACTACATGAAAATTGATCTATAGACTAATAATAATTGAAAACAAACAAAATTAAATGTATTTAAATTTAATTCGATTAAAAAATGTTACACGTGTGTGCTAAATAAACCAATTAATATATGGAGTTTTGTAAATTTTATTTTTGGAACGAGCTCTGAATGTATTATGTATCATTAATAGATATTACAAATCGAATGGGTCCCAAAAAGGACTCCTGGGGTACACCGCATCAATTTTGTTTTTTCCTTTAGTTTTGGCATACTTAGGGTTATATTTTGACATTCTTAGAACAGTTGTTTTTAGCTTAAATTAAAGTTCTTAAGGCAATTGAATCCAGCTTAAGTTTACAAAGTTTAGAAAGATTTCTAGAGTAAAAATCTATTAAAGTTGCTAATGGGATGTTATCGTTTATTATTGCTAAACTGTATTGTGAATGTTAACAAAAATGTATATTCAACGTCTACAGGTATAAGTGCATACTAGGAAAAAAATCATGGATTTCTTATTGTCATGTTATAAGATATGCGTTAATTAAATACAGCCCATGTCTTTAATTATTGCATATCTTATTAACGTGACATTGAAAACTATTTATTTTTTCAAAATAATTATAATAATTCTATGGTTTTCTGCTCTTCTCTTACGCATGTTTCTGTTGCTTTATTTTTTGTTCCCAAACATTTTTTTATTAATTTTTTCTTGTAGTTGACTTCATTCGTTTTCACAACTCATTTTAAATTTTAAATAACACTGCATATAGAACTGTCACTGCCATTGTCAAAAGCGAAAAGCGTTACCATAGAAACAAACTATCAATAACTCCTACTTTTAAGTTTTTAAGTTCACGTTGTGATACAATATACAGGGTGTTTCACATTTGTTGTCCATTAAAAGTTTCTGGGGAACGGAAAAAGATATCGATTTGAAATTTCAAAAGCGTTTATCCATTTAAGTATATTTTTCTAAAATATTTTGAACAAAATGCAACTTCCGGTTTAAACGGAAGTAACAAACTTTTTTATTTCAAATAGAACACCCTATATATTTTTACATTTTTAAATTCTACATAAAATTACTATCCCATGTCCTATAACTAAAGTGAATAGTTTTCGGGTTTTTTCGTTAAAATATGACAAATACGCGTATATCATAAATAGCCTATAACTTTTTTCTTATTGGGTTTACGGATATGACAGTGGAATTTTGGAATCTTAAAACATTGTTTAAGAGATTTCGTGTAATTTTTTAAACATTTTTCAACAGCCCTTTTATTTAATATTAAAAAAAACGCTCGAAAAAAAAACTGTTATAGGGAATGACCACTTTTCAGCAAAATAATCAAAAAGGGGACATTCTTACCGACTTTGAAGCGGTGTATCTTCGTTACAGTTCGTTTAATTTGTACAAAATTTTCAGGGTATACCAACAAAAATACGGTCTTTAACAGCATATTTTTTATTTACTTAAAAAAATTACCCTAAAAGTTATTTTTCGAACGTATTTTCATTATTAAATAAAAGGGCTTTAAAAATATTTTCTCGAAAAACTGAGATATAAGTTAAAGTATTTTAATCCAAAATTTTATAAAGATTGGTAAAGGCGTTTTAGAGTTGGAATTTTTTTACTTATTATGCGTTAATTTTGACGCAGTGTTTTAAAATAAAATTTATCATAAAATCAGTTAAGAAATTGTCTGTTTTTTAAATCAAATGTAATAAAATTACAAAATAAATTTAGTTTTTAAGCTAGGTATTTATTATTATTTTGTTTATTATAGGTACAGGAAAGATACCTAAAATGCGTGACGATTAGTTGTTTCTACGTAGCCGCGACGAACGCTGGCTACGATGTAGACAAACTTCAATTGGTCAACGTATCCCAGAGCAAATGTTCAGTCAATGATATGCTGCGGATGGCGGAAAAAGTCGAGCAAAAATTGAAAATCGGCAACGCCGACATCCCGTCCACTTGCGCGGACTTCCTGGACATCTACGTGGACATCTTGGAGATGGTCACGACCGTTTGCGACGCGCCGTTTGTTTTTGCGACGAGAGAAACCCTACTGACGAGACTGGAAGTTCTGATGACCGATCACAGGTGCGCGTTTTACAGGCCTTCAATGTTGGCACTCGCCCTTGTGCAAATCGAAATCGAACGGCAGATGGGAGAGATGTCGGAAAAGTCGCTCTACTATTTGCAGGACATGGTCAACGTCTTCGTGGTCATAGCCGAAATTCAGCACACCTGCCAGATAAGAACCGGCGAAATGGTGAATTGTTACAACAGCGCGTGCTCCACGCTTAGCCAGTACGACAACCAAGAAAAGGCGAAGCACTCTCAAAACTTAATGTGGCGGTTTTCCTCGTCAACTTACGCCCTGTGCAATAAATACAGGTACAACCGCAACGCGCATTATTTGCTCGACACGATCGAGGAGCAGTTCCAGTGAATTTGTCAGTGTACATCACCATTGAAACCTTCATTTCAAATTTCAAGCGATATAAGCACTTTATTAGATTGTAGAGAAACGTGTTTATAAATTTGTAGATATTTATTTTTTAATTAAACTGTTTGAATGTATTTTATGTGATAATTTTAAATTGTGTCTTATAAATATTAATTATAAAACAGAAATTTATACAAAAAAATTTACAAAATAGTAAATTAAATAAAAAAAAATGCACCAAATAAGTTCACTATTTGTGCTTATGTCGTTATTAATTAAACTATGTATTTATTTTCTTATGATCTGTACCTTTATAATTTTCTTTTTTCTGTATATATTATAATTTAAAACTAGTCGTTACTTTCTGTTACCATGAAATGGCACTTATTTAATTGAAGAAATGTTTTATATAAATCTCGAATATAAACTGCAACCTTTTTAAACAATGAGTTTTATTAATCAACCACATTAAAATCAAAATAATAAAATAGGTTTTTATTCATTTTTTTTTTTATATTTACCTTGTTTCTTTATTTTATTCAATGATTTAAATCAGTTTAAAAAAAGTTTCTAAAATCTAAAAAAACACCAACATCTAAAACTAAAGCACAATAATATCTTGACACTATTTAAATGAATTCATATGCATAGAAAAACCGCCTATTTTGTTCAATAAAATAATAAAAGAATATACAAAAAAATATATGACAGTTGCGGACGGTGGTTTATTTGTTTATAAAGTAGTGCCAATATAATATTAAAGTCGGATTATTTTTGGTATTTTTTTAGTAAAAAGCTTATAATTTAAAAAAACTCAAAAATAGTATATTATGTATCAAGTTTGATATAGTTTTTCTACGACAAATACTCATTATCTTAAAATGATTTAAATCAAAAATTTGTATAGCGCCATCTATGAATCAACAGGGGAATCTGTGTGTAACCGTCAAATGTCAAATTTTTTTATTTTATAAACAGATTATAAAGGTTATAAATCAAAATGTATTTCTTTTAAAATTTACAGTTTTTCACAGTGAAAGTAAAGAAAATGTTTTATTTATGAGGACTTTACAGTGGTCCGTGCCCGAATTTAAGTTATAGTTTACTGCCGGCGAATTTAAAAGGTCAGTACAATGTTTATATAAACTTTTTAAATATTGACGTTGATAAACTATTTAATACTTTTGTATTGAGTTAAAAAAATAATTTTCACATTTAGAATTATTTTACAAGAAAGGCACTTTATTTTAACGATTGTATGACATTTGACAACTGTCAACTAACTTAAAACTAACTTCAGCCCGTGACTAAAAACCTGTTGCTAACTTCAGCCCGTGACTAAAGCGCCATAAAGCCACAACTTAAGTTGTCATTGTGTTGCTTCTTATTTGTGTTTTTAATTCGCTAAATTAAAAATATCATAGGAGATACTTTTAATTAAATTTAATTTTTAATTTATTAAATAAGCAGATATTTTTATTTGAATGTGATATTTTATAAACTAACTCTGTCGCTAGATGGCGGCACAATCATTGGGATCTACGACGTACGTAAATTCGATGTCGCATCTAATGTATATCTATTTTTTTATCTAATGTGGAAAAAATTAGATGACAATATGAACGTACCTAGTACCATGTTCATAGTTACGTAGCTAATAGCTACACCCCAAAACAATACAATTAAATGGTTTACTTTTATTGGATGGCTGTGGTTGGTGGAGGTCACACGGATTTTTTTTCTTTTTACTCATCTCTACCCAAGCAACAGTTTAAGTATTTGTTACGTATATGCGACTATTGAAGAAACTTAAAAGTGTTTTGCGACAGTCGCCGGTCTCTTTATATTACTCTTTCATTACTACGTTACGACTAAAGTGGGGAACAATTATTGAGTTCCAAAACTATAGTTATAGCTATAGCTATAAACCCTGCTACTATTTGGAACGTAGCTGCTACGTTACTAGAACGTTCCAATATCGTTGCTAGAGCGTTATAATTACTTTTGTTTATTTGTTTTTACTTCCATATTAACTGTCTTTGTCAAACTTATATAATATAAGTTATATTAGATTATACTATCCCTCCTTTTTTAAATGAAACCACTACGGACTTGGCTTTTCAATGTCGTCGTTTATTAAATATGTACTGGTAGTTTATAACTTCCAGAATAACAATATAATGTTTAATTTGGCAGGTAAATTTATAAACCCTTTAAATTTTATGAACTTATGAATTTAGTTTTTGTAAAATGTAGTAAATGCGCTTCATCAATATTTAAGTATAAACAAGTATCATATACTTACCACACTGTGGCAAGTATATGACAAGTATGTAATTTTGCGCCACCTATCTTACAGAAGCTAAAGTTTGTATAATAAATATAGCTTACTATAATATAAAATATAAATAAGTATTTAATCCCATAGATAAAATAAAACAATGAATGTAGTTAAAAGTCTAAAACAATATAAACATGTTGTTTATTAGGTAGGTATTTAAATTAAAACAATAATTATAACGCATAAAAAACATTTCCTTACAAAATTGTAGAGGAATATAAGTCTAACAAGACACTTATACGTATCTAATTGCAAGTAATAAAATACATCAGACATAAATATTTATAAAATAAGCGGGCGTTTTCCCATTTAAACAAAAGCCACCAATGAGAGACGTCCACAGCTGAAAGAATGGCCGAACGTCAAAGTGAAAAAACCGAATGCGTGCGCACCGATTGATTTAAGGACGAAATTAATCTCCAAAAGGCCCCTTTTCGAATATACTTTCTTCTGAAAACCTTTCTCTCGAACAGAAGAATGTAAAGTTCACTTTTCGGCCGGCCACCAAATGACAAGCAAGTCAGCTCCAGGTGCGCCCGTCAGTGACGTCACTACATTCACGCTAGCTACGATGGAATGAACATCAAGCGGCCGAGAAACATATTGGAGCGAACCGTCAAAATATACAGTCAAGTATAGCGGTTCGAACGTTGAAATTTAACAAGTGCCGAATGGAATAATCCAGTTTGTTAGTGGTTTGCTATGTTTTTTGTGTATCAGTGATAACGACCTGGCTTTAATATGAATATAGACGACATTTTAAACTCTAGTGGAGACGAGGATCATGTAGGGATCGGAAATATGGATGTCTCGCTTAATTACGAAAACCCAGAACTTATGGTGAGTACACTATATACATAGGTATACCTAACTGCATTCTTATAATTACTTTCAAAACCTACTTAATAATCCTTTCTATCTAAATGTTATACCGTTACTCATACTGACGCATCCTGACAGCAGTAATTTTAATTTATAAAAAACCACGATAACACAAACAAAAATAAATACACCATTATTATCAACTCTGGAGTTTTTATAAAGTCCATTAAAAAACTAAAGCACAAACTGTTATAATTAGAATTGATACAATTGCCAAAAAATTAATAATAATATTATTTCCAGGTATTTAGCCTTTAAACCCAAATAACTTGTACCATATTGTACATATTATTAATAACATACACCGACCAAAGATAAGTAGTATTATCTACTATGTATGTATTTGTAATGCACTATAGACAGACATATATTATGTATTACAAATTTCTAAGATATGTAATTTAATTGCATTGGCTTTGAAGACAATGTACTAAAAAACACGTGTTATATTACATATTGATAACCTTTTATTATACTTTATCAGCAGTACCTATCAAAATACTACTACTACAACATGATTTTTAAGAATTACTCATAAATTAACTCAAACTCGAATATCTTCAGTACAGTTCAATAAACTACATTATAATTACATTTACAAGGTGCTAAAACTTCATGTTAATGTACTTTCCGTGGTAAACCTACAAGAGTTTTTTTTGTTGCGACTGTACATTCTTGGAGCGTTAATTTAAAGTAACGGTACCCAAAAACTAGTAATTTCCTTCTAAAATAATTTAAAAGTGGTTTCGGTCCGTAAGTTAAGATGGAATGTTTCTTGAATAAATAATGAGGCTTCCATTTAATAGTAAAAATAATAATAGTTATACCAGACCAGACTTTTTTTTAAGATAATGAGTTCGTAATACGTCTGGTTATATAATTACCACAAATATTGCTGGGGATTATCAAAGGGATTTAACTTAATCTGTATTTTATTTAACGTCCTTCAATGTTTTCAAAACAAACCTAAACACTTTAAAGTTGTTATACATTAACATTAACAAGGTATAAAAATCAACAGGGTCCAAAGATACTCTTGGAGCATATCCTTATTATCCTATTTACTATTTTATTATTATACAGTTGGATTGCATGTTTTTAAAATGTTTAAGCTAAGAATCAATTAAATTGTCTAAATTTAGATACTTGAAGTACACTTACAAATTTTCCAATTACATTTTAATAAAATATTAACTTTTTTACATTATTAATTATAATTATTGCAGAAAACAAAAAATAATGCTGATTAATTAATTATTCATTTTAAATCATTATCATTTTGTTTTACAAATGTTTAGAAAGTTATATAGGTAAACTTTATTTTTTGTTGCTCTCAATAATTTCACATTTCATTATTAGGTATTTGCTATACTTTTGGATGTGAATATACATGTATAATATGTGTAATACTCAATAGGTATAAAACTGTTTTTAATGTTAAAAGCAATTTAAAATAATATTTTTATTAATAACTGCAAGTTAATGAATGTTTTGACCTTAAAAATCATGTGCGTTAATTATAGTCAAATAATAATGCATACAAAGCAAAATATAATCTACAATTTTCCAAAAATATTTAATACACGAGTTTAAAGTTATTATTTACTTAACTACTTTGTGTAATTATTAAAATAATTTTGCTGCGTTCAGCATAATCATAATTTCTAATTAGGTGATTTTATGAACTTATTTATGTAACTTTTTTTTATCGAAATGTTATTCAAAATTTAATCTCTTGGTCGTTATGCGTTTTAAAAAATAAAATACGATTGTAATTCTTAAAAGAGAACAATTTTCCCCAAACTATTTTTGTTTTCTTTGTATTTTATTGTATAAATATTTCTTGGAATATGTTAATTGGAAGTGTATTTAAGATATCGAGAAACTGATTATTCGCTATACCTACCTACGATAGACGCAGTTACACTAAAATTCATAAAAAAGAAAATTATCGCATTTTTATGTCATAATAAATATCTTTTATAGATAAAGCGTCCGGGCTTCTCCAAATCATAAAGGAAGTTAAAATGTATTGTAAAATTATCTCTAAAAAGTTATAATCGCCTTAAAAATCCCTTTTTCTAAATGAAATGCGGTTTCCTGTGACTTTTTAATAAGAAAAACAAGTTTTATAAAAAGCCCCTAAACTAACCCAGACTGCAGGTACCTGCATCATAAGGGCTGAATTATAATTACTACTTTATAATGAATTATCTCAAAATATTACCTATTTAAATTGACAAATAATCGATGTTCCAAAATACAATTAATACTAATGGTAATCCTCCTTGCTAATACCATCATAATATTACGAAAATAATTCATAGAAGGCAACTAAAATATTATTCAAGACATAAGAAGCTGGTAGAGTTCTGTTTAAATTTTATTGCCTCGTTAAATATCCAGCCATTTCATTGGTTGCTTACTTACTTTCTTTGGCCATTGAGTTATTATTATTATTAAGTAAGGTTTCTGAAATATTTTAGTAAGTACAGTATATGCACTGTAGGTATTATTTCATAATAGTTGCGTCATGTTGAATTATAACGACTAAAGGGCGTAATTGCAAAATAAGGATACCCGTATCTTTGCCCGTATATTGAATAATCACTTTGTTATTACCATGCACGTAACCAGGGGGTGGAACAAGGGGCTAAAGCACAAATTCTATCTCTTCTATGAGAAAGTCTTTCCATCCAAGTAATGAATGTGAATTTTTGATTTGGTAATGTACGAGGTGTGTTCAGAAAATATCGGGAATTTTAGTTTTTTTAAACAAAAATTTATTTATTCGTCTACATTAATGTTGTCGCCTTTAAAATAATCCCCATTGGATATTATGCACATGTGTCAGCTCTTCTTCCAATACTCGAAACACTTCTAAAACTCGATCTTTGGGATAGCCTTTAGTTCTTTCAGCGATGCGCTTTTAATGTCATCTATGCTTGCAAAACGACGGCCCTTTAAGGTTCTCTTTATTTTTGGGAATAGGAAAAAGTCAGACAGAGGCATGTCTGGCGAATATGGAGGCTGGGGCATCATTACAGTATTGTTTTTGGCCAAAAATTTTGTTCAAAATTTAACAATTTTAGAACAAATTTTGCTGCCACGCGTTTCATACCCAAAACATTCAAAAAAATTTCATGGGATGAGCCAATCGATATACCAACATCATCAGCGACTTCTCTGATAGTTTATAACCATTTTTTCCACTTTTTCCATATGCACAAGCACATTAACAACCGATAAAAACATATGTTTTTATCGGTTGTTAATGTGCTTGTGCGTTCAGGGCGTTCGTCATCTTCAACGTCTTCACGGTCATCTTGGAAACTCTTATACCACTTGTAAACTCTTGTTTTGCTTATAGACTCACTATAGGCCTTTGTTAACATTTCACAGAATTTATTTAATTTTTTAAGCAAAATTGGATACAAATTCTTTGATCCATTTCTTTTATCGAACAAAAAATCGCCGAGCTCATAAAACACGTCTAACCTTAGCGGCTGCCACAGACAAAGTAAAAAATGAAAACAGCTAAAGTTTTTATCATACTTCGGGGCATGTATACCTGCATAATAAAGAAAATTTTATGACAACCGGACCCTCCGAACCCGCGAAAATGAACAATTCCCGTTATTTTCTGAACACACCTCGTATGTTTTAAGTTGGCAATATTGGCACGGAAATCCCTTTCCATGTCTTGTATCCAGAGCTGGGAAAGTTACTTCTGGAAAGTATCTAGTTACTTTTCTAAGATACTTTAAACAAAATAACTTATAAGTTACTTAAAGTTACCTCTTGAGTTAAAAGTTACAAGATACTTTAAAAAGTATCTTAGTTACTTTACCGAGTAACTTATAAGTATCTATAGATACTTCCAAAAAATTCCTGGGTACGGGCCTGGTTATTACACGCATCTAAAATTGTACGATTTTTTTTCTCCCAATAATAATAATCATAAAATTAAAAACGTTATTGTTATCAATATGAATTGTAATAAATTCAAAAACAATTAAAATAGTTTATATTATTTTTTATTGTTGACCTAAATGCGACTACAATTTGATAATTTGGCATGCAAATTTGTATTATTGGCAATAATAGTAAAGGAATATACTACGTAATATTTAACTACCAGCTTTTCTGGATTTTGATGCCGGTTTTGCCGGCATGAATTTTTAATCTTGTTCATTGACCTTCGCATTTAACCACGTGGGACATTTAGTGTGTATCTATCTGCATATTATAATGTCAACTTTCACTATTTCAAATAGGTAAACTGGTAAATGTATCGATCAATGGGGTTTTATCGATATTTATCTGAATAGCTGCTCTAAAAAATAAGTTTCTTAAAAAAGAAAGTCGACTTTGCGAATTTGTTATGTCAGCAAAGTGGGTTTAAGTGAATGGTTTATTAAAAAAAATTCGTTTAATAAAAATCCCCATGCTTCCTGTTTTCAGAATGTAGAAACAAGTTTTGATCATAAATAAGGATATACAGTTGCTGTAAAGCATCTTCATTTAACTTTTATTTTGTTACAGTCCTCAGATTTCTTTGACTCTGTGCTATCATTGGAAAACAATTTGGACGAAGGCTTTTTCCCAAACTTCGAGGATGACGTTAATTTGTCAAGTGACTCAAGCTCGCACATGGATGAAGTTTTATCGCCGCAAAGTCTTTATTCGGAAAGTGAAAAATCCAGCACCTCCACAGATATACTGGAAGACCAAGGTTCAATGATCAACGGACTAGACACCTTCGAAGACCCGATTTTAATGTCATTTATGGAACCGATCAACAACAAAACCAGTAAAAATAAACCGACGAAAATCCTGATCCAAAATCCAAACAACAAAAAGTCGATATCGAAACCGATCTTGCAGAATGCGCAGATTAAAAAAGGTCCCAAATCAAAGCCGCAAATTTTGAAGGTACATTCGATGTCCAACAACGGCCGCCCCGTGCTTCTGCCTTTGAGTGTCAAAAGCATCAAAATTTTGAATTCGAACGCAGACGTCACTAGCTTGACAAACAGCCTGAAGAGACGCAAAGTCGAAACACACACCATACAGTCGGTTGAAGGTAAGCAAAGGTTTTGTTAATTTTACTCTTTTAAAAATAATTTATTTCTCTATCTAAATAATTGACCTAAGATCAAAGAATCAATCAATCAAATATTTTCTGCATTGAAAATGATGGAAAATTGCCACAAAAGCAATTACAACATGTATTTTTTGGCATCATTGAACTTATTAAACACAATAAATTTTAAAATTATTAAGCTATTTTTACGTACACATGATACATAATCCCAAATTTAAATTACTTCCCAAGCAGCATTTTTGGTTCCAAAAACCATTGCAAAGTAGTGATAACTTTAAATTAGTTAAGTATACTAAACAGCTACTTTAATTTTTACTCAAAAGTAATTCTAACTTTTAAATAGCAATATTTTGTAACAGAAACTTCATTCTTTCCTTAAATGGTTACTATAAATTAATAAACATTTAAGTAAAACTAGGTTGCCCCCAAGAAGACTTTGCAACTTTAAAATAGGTGTTATAAGTAAAAAAAACTTTCAAGTAAATTTAATTTGTAGCAGTTACTTTCGGTTGCTACCTAAAGATTACATTATAATTATTTTTACTTTGTAGTCCCTTTGCAAGTGTAAAATCTCGAAACTGGAACATGAGTTAAAAACTACAAAGTTATTATTTTAGTATTTGCAACGTTTATGGTACTAACCAAAACTACCGTAAAGTAAATATTAAGGTGGAAAAAAACTACTTCAAAGAAAAATACTTCTTATCTAGTATAAGTTTGACAAAGACAGTTAATATAGAAGGAAAAACAAATAAATAAAAGTAATTATAACGCTCTAGCAACGATATTGAAACGTTCTAGTAACGTAGCAGCTACGTTCCAAATAGTAGCAGGGTTTATAGCTAGTGACAAATTTGTTACCTTTTTGGAACTCAATAATTGTTCCCCACTTTAGTCGTAACTTAGTAATGAAAGAGTAATATAAAGAGACCGGCGACTGTAGCAAAACACTTTAATGTTTCTTCAATAGTCCCATATACGCAACAAATACTTAAATTGTTGCTTGGGTTAATTACAAATATTATTATTGCATAATTTTACATTTTTCTTCTTTACTATGGGTATGTTATAAAAAATATGATTCTTACTCTAAAATAAGAATAAATTTGGTTGGCGTGCTAAATCCAAATTCAACCTCAGAATTGCATCAATCACATCAGGTTTTTAAAAAATTCCAACACAAAAGTAAAAATATGCAATATGTACTTTTTCCCTTGAAAATAGGCAATAGAAATAAATTTAAAGATTGAAAAAAATGTAAAAGTTATTTTCATATTTAAAATAATAGCATAAAATTTGCAATATAGTTTTAAATATAGATTATAAAATAAAAAGTTTTTATTGCAATGGAATTAAATTAAATAAAATGCATTCTAAGCCAAAGCAGTGCATAATTTTTCTGAATATTGACCCCTAGCTTTTATTAATCATGTCACATACACATTATTTATCGCTGATACTTGTTTTATGTAACAATTTATTTATATATTTTTTGTGTGCACATACTTTATCCTGTTACGGTGTATTGCATAAAAATCTATAGTTGCAACAAAAATTTTAATATTCGTCAGTATTTATAGATATTTGTAAAAAAAATCTTTCCTGTATATTTTGACCAAAATGTAGTTTCGCATTATGCGGTTTCTATAATTTAAACTAAAATTTTAATGCGGCGATAAAAAATAATCGTAAAGTTTCCGTGATAATGTTTGTTTTAAGTAAAAAGCCATGCATTGTTATCGAACGCTAAAATTTTAAAAACATAATTATTGTTAAAATATAAAGCAAATAATATTTAGTTATATAACATTTAAATTTAATAATTTCACAATTTTAATCGTGTTTGTTAAACAAGATAAACTTATTTGATTTAATTTGGAAAAATAAAAGATATTTACCTACATACAAGGTACTTACTTATATAGGTTAAAAAATAAATATTGTTTTAATCAATAAGGTAGAAAACCCACAACCTATTTAAATATTTATGCGATTATACCTAAGTACATGAACGTCCTACACAATTTAACTATGAAATTGGGGCATGTACAGTTTGACACTAAAGTTTTTACCCTTGAAATACTAACTGCATTTATTTTAATACTTTAACAAACAATATAATCAAGAATAAATAAATCTGCAACTTTCAGATGATGACACAAACGTAGTATCGTCAACAAATAACCAATATCCCGCCCTTTCATTGACAAATGAGGAAAAACGGCTTCTTGCCAAGGAAGGAATTCAATTGCCTACACACCACCCGCTTACCAAAAACGAGGAAAGGGAACTGAAAAGAATCCGGAGAAAAATCAGAAACAAAATTTCAGCACAAGACTCCAGGAAACGCAAAAAGGAATACGTCGACGGACTTGAAGAAAGGTACGTAACCTCATTGTTTAATTGCAATAATAAACACATATTTATAAATGAATTTGGCAAATATTGTGTTTAACTTTAATTTTATATTAACAAGGGAAAACTTTTTACCGCAACTTGGCCCCATGGTTAATAGATGGCGTTACAACTAAGTAGAATCGTTATGGTTTATGAGGTTTTCACAGGCGTTTATCGTTGTTTCAGGGTAAAAAGAGGCTCGGAAGAAAACAAAAACCTCTTGCAGAGAGTGAAAGAGTTGCAACGGCAAAACAAAAATCTTATAGCGCACGTGAGCAGGCTGCAAGCGTTGATTTGCAAGTCGACCGGTTCCAAGGCCACGCCGTCTACCTGCCTTATGGTGGTGCTTTTGTCCGCGCTGTTGGTATCCCTGCCGAACATGAGGTTGTTCGAGAAGCAACAACTGTCCACTGAACAAGAGCAGGTGGCGATCAGGAGATCTCTTTTGTCGTCTCCCATTGCGGAAGACGAAAACATCAACATGGAGGAGTTTCTCTTGTTCAAGGACGAGGATAACGAATTCGAGGCCAAATTCGGCGAGGATGTCATCGATATCGATAACGCCACAGAGAAGGAAGTGTCGAAATTCCTCGAGGAGATGGGGAAGAAATACGAGGGGGCTTCGGAGAAGAACAGCTCCGAGAAGATGAGCATGTTCAATAAGGTGGTGGAAACGGTGAAGAACTTCTTGGACAAAGACAAGAGCTTGTTCGGGAAGTCTTCGGACTACGGTGGAAGCTTTTCGAACAAGCAGGGATTCATCGAGCCGGAAATTGACGATTATGCCGTGAAAGAGGAGCCGCCTTCGAAGAGAATCAAACTCAACTCGGATGCTAGTAACGTGGTGACGGTTCACGCGAACTACAACACCATAACCGATACAAAGGATAAATAATTTAATTTTCTTGCAATAATTTTTTTAACCGTTCTACGACCATTTTGTTTCGTTTTTTATCTGTAGATGGGTGAGTCTATGTGTTAAATTATAAATTGTTTCTGTATTATTTAAATTTTAAATTTAAAACCCTTCAATCTTGCATTCCAATTATATTATTTTTTCATCAACTCTAGTTGTAGCAATGTAAGAAACATTTATTTTCCTATAATTACTTACAGCTTTTCTTGCAATTTTTTAATAGACTGTACATTTTTGAGATTTTTTAGTATTGCTATTGTTTAGGTATAATTAATATAACACTTCAATTGTTTTGCAAAATCGATTTTTATGATGGGCTTGTTGGCTCCAACAATTTTGTGATAAAATTACTTTAAAACTTGTTTCTTTATACACTACTACTTTATAATAAGGCTCTAGTGTACTTTTCAGTGCAAATTTGTGTAGATATGAATATACTTAGAAAAATATTTTTATTGTTTGTCATATCTAATATATATTGATTATATAATGTCTTTCCTTTTATTTCCCCTCCCTGTCTAATAATAATACATATGTATGGGTCAAAAGAGGTGTACATTTTAGTCGCCAACAGTTCCCATAAAAAAGCAAGCATAGCCAAAGAACTCATAAAAAAGGGCACACATAAGGAACACTGGGCAAAAAAAACTCATCTTAAAGAAATAAACATCTGTAGGGTGCAATCATGGAAATAATAATACTATAACTATAGTATTCTTTTAATTTACTTTATTTTTAGAACGTTTTTTTATTATTTAATTAAAGGGCTTTAAAAATATTTTTTTGAAAAACCCTCGAACACGTAAACTGAAGTATTTTTATACAAAATTTCATAAAGATTGGTACAGGCGTTTTAGAGTTTTTACTTATTATGCGTTAATTTTGACGGGCAGTGTAGTAAGCATTTTGTACTAAATGTTTGACAAAAAATATCACCAACTAGATAAAAAAATAAAATTAAAAACAAACACTATAGTGTCTGATATTATAACCTAAAATGTTAAAAAGGTTATCAAATTTTAATCAAGAAAGTAAAAAGGTTCCAGAAATATTAAATAAGGCATTTAGTAAATAATAGCCCTTAATATAAAATTCAAAATTGATGGTAGACCTTCTAAATTAAATATTAAAACACCATTTTTTTGTATAAATTTGCATTTACGTTTTTTAAACCAAAAAAATGTTGCTCTTGTTCAAAATACCCTAATAAATATATGTTCTAAATGATTTGTCTAAATCAAATAAAAATAATAACGTTAATTTTGATTTTTATATCCGATATTTTACCTTACTGTTTTGATGGGTAAGTAATGATCAAAATAATCATAAAAAATATTTTATTTAAAAATATAACAAAATTAAGCAATGTAAATATATGTCTAGTAAATATAACAAACAATTTAAAGAAATAAATACCGAGTTAAGCCTAATAAATATTTAGAAAATCTATGTTTCTAACAATTATAATTATACAAAAATATGACGTCATAACTACATACAGTATAGTATAATAAAAAATATAACAGTGTAAGATTAAAACACACAATTTTGAGCATATAATGTGAAATACTGACACGCTATTACAGCGCAAGCGCAATAAAATTAAAAATACGCCTGCGCCTTTATCATTAAAGTTAAAATGTTTGGACTAGTATTGAAAATACCTTTGGCAAAGAAAACAAAGTTAATGAGTAATTAATTAAAGACTAGGTATGTTTATACGTACTTAACTTATTGTATTTTTTTCAATTTTGCTTGAGATTTATGCCTAAACAACTTATTAATTAGGTTTTTAATGAATACAAAAACTTTGAATATTTTTGACTTTTTGAATTCAAAATAATTCGTTCTGAAACCCCAGCTGCATAAGAAGCATACCCATAGGAGTTTTTGTTAATCCAAAAGTCTCAACTTTGTTTGCAATTTTGTTCTTTAAATTTCTTAATCGAAGAGAGGAGTGGATAAAATTAACTAAAAATAAATTTATTATTATACGCTGAAATTTTTTTTTAACACTTACTTGAAAATGGCAACAAAATCCCCAAAAAGAAGACCAATAGGGATTGCAACATGTACCATAGAAAATATAGGGCTCCAATCACGAGTAATAATGAAACGATTGGATGTTTTTGTTTGAATTGTGCAGCCGCTGGTTTTTCATTGGTAACATACAAAAAAATCATGAAAATAACAGCGGTTGCCAAAAATCCGCACGTCATTTTGACAGGGTGAATCACACTAAAAATACAGATGAGGATAAAACATTATTAAAATGATTTAATGTATTAAACTTACCCGACAATGGCAAAAATGACAAAAGACAACAAAAAGTAGTTTGTCTGGTAATAGAGCAAGTTGCTGCTAACTCTGTTACCCCATTTTTCCAAATCGTTCACATTTGGTATTTGAAATCTCGCTGAATCCAGTAAAAAATCTTGCAAAGGCCTTAAAGGGGCTATTTCGAAACCCTCATTGGAAATTTTGCTTGTTTTATTCATATTTACGCGTTCTACAATATGTTTAATTAAATATTAATGTTATTCACTATTTGCTCCACTAAAAACAAATACCTTACGTCAGTGTAAATGTTTAAAAACAGCTGATGACACCATCAAAACCAAAATGACAACGCCGCAATCTTATTGTAAACGTTTGGTAAACAGACTCATCTGGCAACGTTGCGCTGTAAAATATCTTTGTTCCAACACTAATATTTATAAAACCTAACTAATTGTTTAATGTTTTTAATTGTGACTATTAAAAATCACACTTATACTATATGTATATACATTTAATCCCTTTTAAATCATTATATAGTACAAAATAAATTGAATGACAACACTGTTACGTGTTTGCTCCACTGGCGTATAGGTGGCGCTACTTATTGGGAATGGCAGCCATGCTTGTTTAGTGCGATATTGTTTTAAGGTGCGTCGGTGTTGCGATTTTGTTGTGTAAAATAAATTAGCTTTTAATTAGTTTAAATCTAATTAAAATGGATTCAGATTCAGACTCAGATACCCCAGTGTAAGTAATGCTAATTTATTTGTCTGCAAAGCCCACGAAATCGCTCTAATTCGTGAATATTGTTTGGATAAAAAAACCGCCTGTTTCTGGGCACCAAAAACGTTGCAAATATTCGAATATTTGAGTGTTTTTGGTTTTTAAAACCTTTAGTAATTAAAAGTGTTTACTTAATTAAACAAAAATTTGTATGTTTTGTTCGTTTTATATACAATTTTTTTACACGTGAGATCTAAAGAGCCGTGGTTTTAATTTTTTTATTTTAAGAAAGCCTTAAGAATACATTTAACACTATAGTTTAACTAGATTATCTAGTCTAGTTAAGTGTTTTATGTTTATAGAAGTATGCAAACTATCGACAATTCAGTTATTAAGGGTCTTAATCCTTTTTTAACCAATTTTAAGTGAAAAAAGTTTATATTATTATATATAGGTGTGTTAGAAATGTCCAATTAGACATCAGGGTTTTTCAAATGAGAATAAATGTCCTATAAAATTGTCTAGATAAGTAATATTTTCCACGCTATAACTTTCCAATACAAATTATTCCGTAAAAACCTGACTTTGAGGTAATATCCCTGATAGCACAGTTTATTCTAAGAATGTTTTTTAAACCTTCCAGTGAGAATATTCTTAGGATCATGCTATACGAGGGTTGCCTTTTATATTTCGGGAATAGAGAAAACAAACAACAATTAATCATCGTACATGGCTTTATTGTTTTTTAAAATATTCTCCATGAAGATCGACACACTTTTGCATGCACTTGAACCAATTTTCGAAGCATTTTTTTCACTCCGATTGAGGCACCTCCAAAACATGCATTTTGAACGCATCAATCGCTTCCAAAGACCCACACAGTCGACTGCTGTTTACTTTCAGGTTCATACGCATAGATCCATGAGTCGTCACCTGTTACAATGTCATGAACATGTTTTGAAGCACCGCCATCGTATTTTTTAAGCATTTCTTTTGACCACTAGACCCGAGACCTTTTTTGATCGATTCTCAAATTATGTGGGATCCAACGGTAACAATTTTTTCTGAAGGCCAAATGTTCATTTAATATTGAATGTATGCTGGTCCCACTAATGCCCAAGGATGACCCAATCTCACGATATGTCATATGATGATCTTGCATTACCAGTTCACGCACAGCATCAATGTTTTTTGCAAGAACGAGTGATTTTGGACAACCTTCACGAAATTCGTCGGTGAGCGAACCACGGCCACGATTAAATTCTGAACACCACCGATATTCACTTGTTTTTTATGGCACTTTGTCGCCAAAAGTCAAATTAAGTTCATCGATGCATTATTGTTGGGATAATCCACGTTAAAGTTGTAAAAATAATAGCACGAAAATGTTCACGGGTCAATTCCATTTTTTTGGCCGACATTAATTTTTCAAGTGACTGTTAATAATACTAATTGCGCCCGCACGTCAAAACGTGTTAAGTAAGAACACCGTCTAAAAGGTCGAACTTATCGATACAGACATCTGTTGTCCGATAGCATCAGCAGGTTCGGCCATTCCCGAAATATAAAAGGCAACCCTCGTATTACTTCTAGTCATGTTCTAAGAATGTTTTTTAAACCTTCCAGTGAGAATATTCTTAGGATCATGCTATATATCTTCTTGGCATGTTCTAAGAATGTTTTTTAAACCTTCCAGTGAGAATATTCTTAGGATCATTCTATATTTCTTCTAAAGAACATGCTTAAAAGAAATATAGCATAATTCTAAGAATATTCTCACTGGCCTCTAGGCAGTAATTAGTATTAAATACTAAGTAAAAAACAACCCAAAATATTTTTTATAGTTATTTTTCAAATTAAAACAATATTAGATAACAAAAATACTTTTACTACTTATAGGTATTTTATTTTATGTTAAAAATAAATATTTATTAATTTGTATACCGATTTTTTATTTCTGAATTAACATTTTTATGTATAATAATCCTACTATCTTCAACTTCAATCTAATCTGACTTATCACACAAAATTTTCCAATTTTACTTTTTATGAAATAATGTCATACAACTTATGGTTCAGAGGTCAAATTGTTTATTTAATATTTTTAAATAAATATATATTAATATGTCGCAAATTTTTTTAAGGGGACGACAAATACATTTCACTTTCATATTGTGACAGTGAGGCGTATTTGTCGCCTCCTGAAGAATTTTACGAATGTAGAATCCAACATATATGTTGGATTCTAATATATTAGAACGTGGGTATCTGACATATTTGGAAATATTCTCAAAAGCTTCCTAGAAGCTCCATAAGAAACCTTCTGAGAACATTCCAAAAACGTATTCTTAAAATGTTCTTAGTATGCTTTTTAGGAAGGTTTTAAGAAGCTTCTAAGAATCTACTTGCATCATTAAAAGGGTATCTATTGAATGTTTTAAAAGTCCCTAAGAACATTCTTAGCAATAAGGGAAGGTTCTAAGAATATTCCATTATTCCGAGTCGTATCTTCTTAGAAGATTCTTAGAATCAAATTTTGCTATCAGGGATAATATAAAAAAACCCTTCGATAGCGCTATATAGCGCTATCGAAGGGTTTTTTTCTTCTTCCATTTACATATTTTTAACGCCTTTATGAAATTAATTTTTATATACACTTTTAGATTGATACCATGGATGGTGGAACGGGTTCAGGAAGACGGCACCCCATTTCCTGAACGACAAATCATATACCACAGAATACCAGTGGTACCAAGGCCACGACCTTACGAAACTCCCATGGGGAATCTGTACAATTCTATAAGGCCATCGGCTCAGGCTCTGCAAACCGACTTTGAGAAACGGATCGCACTACATAGGAGTGGTTTTAATGATAACGCGAGCACCAGCACCTTTGGAGAAGTCGATTTTAGTCCACCGGCCTCCCCAGATCCTGAACCTCAGGCCGATCCGCATTGGTAAGAGTACTTTTACTACAGTTCTACCCAATAAAAAGTAAAAAAAAAACGAAGCTCCTACTTGCCAGCAAAGTTTATCTACTACTACTACTAATTGGTTGTTTTATATCACATTACTGAAGATGTGGTGGGTAGCAGTTTGTGTTGCAGTGTGTGGGCGTTTTTGTTTTTATCAATCCCAAGCAGCATTTTTGGTTCCAAAAACCATTACCAAAGTGGTGATAACTTTAAATTAGTTGGGTATACTAAACAGCTACTTTAATTTTAACTTAAAAGTAATTCTAACTTTTAAATAACAATATTTTGTAACATGAACTTAATTCTTTCCTTAAATGGTTACTATAAAGTAATACACTTTGCAACAAGGTGTTATAAGTAAAAAAACTTTCAAGTAAATTTAATTTGTAGCAGTTACTTTCGGTTGCTACCTAAAGATTACATTATAATTATTTTTACTTTGTAGTCCCTTTGCAAGTTAAAATCTCGAAACTGGAACATGAGTTAAAAACTACAAAGTTAATAACTTAAAAGTTATTATTTTAGTATTTGGAACGTTTATGGTACTAACCAAAAACAAACGCGTAAAGTGGAAAAAACTTTAAAGTAGCGAAAACTACTTCAAAGGAAAATGCTTCTTATCGGCCATTAAATAATAAATTATTTTAATTGTTTGTAGATGGTTGTTTACTTTTTAATAAATAGTAGTTTTGTTGGAAATAGTCGGTATTAATAATTAAATAAAAAATTATTAATAAATATTAAGATTTTTTTTTTATTTATAAACATTATTAAATAAATAATTTGTTTATACTTATATATTGATGAAGCGCATTTATTTTACAAAAACTAAATTCATAAGTTCAACAGTAAAATTTAAAGGGTTTATAAATTTACCTGCCTAATTAAACATTATTTTGTTATTCTGGAAGTTATAAACTACCAGTACATATTTAATAAACGACGACATTGAAAAGCTAAGTCCGTAGTGGTTCCATTTAAAAAAGGAGGGATAGTATAATCTAATATAAGTTTTACAAATACAGTTAATATAGAAGTAAAAACAAATAAATAAAAGTAATTATAACGCTCTAGCAACGATATTGAGACGTTCTAGTAACGTAGCAGCTACGTTCCAAATAGTAGCAGGGTTTATAGCTAGTGACATATTGTTTTAAAAAACGAATTTATGTTTTTGAATTTCGCAATTTGGAAACTAAGAAATAGCATAACAAACTGACACAAAACCCTCAAGTCAAAGTGCCGTTTTGCTCTCTTAAAGTTGAAACCCCTATTTTTGTTTAAGGTTAAATTCCAACGTCTTGCAAGAAAGTCAAGATTTGATAGAACTACAAACTCAAAGACTTGATACAGTTGTACCAATTGAGTAAGTATACATGGGATTATAACCAATTTTAAATAATGACATATTAAATTTTTAAATTTTAGAATTGGAAATGCTACTGGGTTATTTAATGATGCTGATTCATATATGGCCGATGAAACTGAGTAAGTAAATAAAAACACTTTTGACAACACATCTAAGTATACTAAAATAAAGTAACAATCCCAATAAACATTTTTACGTAATTTTTACCATTAGATTTCCCGTTATTATTTTAATTAAACT